CTTAAAGATTATCTTCAGCTTTGATCCTACAAAAAAGTTGTCCAACCACTATTATCCGATTACCACAAAGAAAAGAGAGTTAAATTTGCAAATTGGATTTGTAACAATTATCGAAAAGCTGATACGATGCGAATCCTTTTTTCTGATGAAAAATTTTTTGATATTGATGGTATTTATAACTCTCAAAATGACAGAATGTGGGCTTCAAATTGTGTTGAAGCTGATAGCATCGGAGGAATCAAGCAGCGAAGAAAATTTCCTGAATGTGTTATGGTTTGGTTATATATATACATATATATATATATATATATATATATATATATATATATATATATATATATATATATATATATTCTTATACTTATAATATATATAAGTTCGCTCCTATAGTGGCAACTGCGCTTGCATAACTCTTAGGATTCTATTTAAGATCTTGTAACTAAAAGCAAAATGATTTATAATTTTTTTGCTTATACCATTCAATTAAATACATTTGCACACCATTGTGTTAAAAAAAAAGATCTTTTACTGGTAACGTTTTTTTTTGAGTTATTAAATGAAGAGATCACCAATTTCTGCCATACGAAAAAAAATATATAATTAATAATTAATAATTTGCAGCAATAGTAGTATCAATATGTGCTAAATACCCAAAATGATTTTTTTTTTAACTATGCGGTTCGCTACATTAAGTCTGACAAAGTTATTTTGTTCAGAAGTTATAAAATTACATAGTGTGACATTGCAACTGTCACGCTACATAGAGTTAATTTTTGAAAAGATTTGAAGACTTTAATGCTGCAATTTTTGCATACTAAATTGTATGGTAGTATTTCACATTTCTGAAAAGTTTCAAGTCATTTTAATTTTCAGTTCATTTTTAATAGCTTAAAGAGTGTCTAATGTTACCACTGTCACTCATAAAACAAATAATAACACTAAGTTTTAAAAATTTTTTAGTGGTTTTTTAATTAAGCATGGGCGTTTAATTTTTACGTCTGTTATGTTAAAAAGTTTCGACGGGCGATAATAAAGGAAAATTTCTGTTAAAATTTTCTTACAGACCGACACTTTTTGTTAATTTCCGTTAATTCCGTTATTTTCTGTTAATTTCATTAGTTTTATATTAAAAAATTGGTTTAAGTTGTTTAAAAAAAAGTTTCATTTAATCGACGTTCGGTTGAAAGACAAGGAGCAAAAAAAAAATTTTGAAATTCGAATATCGAACCATAGGTTTTATAAAATTCATTAATTTATATAAAAATTTTAGCAAAAAATTTATGTAAGCAAAAATTTTTTAAAACATTCTTTCAAAAGATTATTTTATAAATGTATTAATATAAATTTATGAAAATATTATTTTACAACTTTAATGAAAAATTTGAATAAGTTTTTTCATTAAAAAAAAAAGTTTTTTAGCTGATAAATTTCAATAAGTTGACTTTTTAAATTAACGGTCGTTAATGGAGTTCAATGTCTGATAAAATAAGTTAACAAAAAATTACCGTTTATAAATTTTAACGTAACGGATTTTAACGGAAATTTTGTTAACTTTTTAACAAAATTTCCGTTAAAAAAGACCTATTTAATGAAAAAAAAAAAGAAAAAAGTGTGTTTCTTATAATTTTTTAAAATTTAAAGTTCTAATTAGTTCTTAAAATTAAAAGTTCTTACTTTGTTCAAATTTAGGAAGTTGACTTATTTTTGATAAAATTTTTGTGTTAATATTTTGTGTGCTAATATTAGGAATCCCTCAAAATATTTTTTATTCAAAAAAATTCTAAATCTTGTGTTATTTTTTTGTTATAGTACACTTCAAATATTCATATATATATTTACATAATAGGCTTTCACAGGAAGGCGTGCGATTTCATGTCTTTATATGACCACGTAAATTACATTTTGCTATGACAGTTTGACCGCGGCTAATTCAAAAAACGTTTTAAAAACGTGCTAAATGAAAAATATTCTTAAAAAGTGAAATGAATTACATCAAAACTTCTAAAAAAATGTTTTTAAAATAGCGAAACGATTTTAAATAAAGTAACAATTCACTGAAAATGTTTTTGTTTTTTTAATATATTTAACAGTTGTAGATACTTTTTTAAATTTATAACATATAAATTGTTACAATTACAATTTAATAAGTTTGATCTTAAATGCTTTTATATTATCGAAACGCTTTTTAATGAAGTAAAAAAAAATACTTCTAATTAATTTTTAAAAAAAGTATAAAATGTTTTTTTTTTAATATATATAATTATGTATTATTTTTTTATGAAAAATGTTTAACTTTTAAAACATGAATGAAAAATGGTTTTTTAATGCATAAATTAAATAGACTCAGCATTTTAGTTAGATGAGTTTTGTTTTAGTTGCATTATATATATATTTATTTTTTGTGTTTTTTCTTTAACTAAGTATTTTTTTAATTTTCTTTTTCTTTAAGATTTTTTTTCTTTTTACCATTTTTTTTTTTTAGATAAGTTTTTGTAGCACATTTTTAAATTTTGAAAATATGTTAAAAGCCGTGGTCAAATCGTTAAAACATATTATTTTTGCGTGGTCATATAAAGACGTGAAATCGCATGCCTTCCTGTGAAAGCCTGACATAAGTGTGTGTATATGTATATGTATATGTATGTATGTATGTATGTATGTATGTATGTATGTATGTATGTATGTATGTATATATATATATATATGTGTATATATATATATATATATATATATGTATATTTTCTTTTCTGTATTTTATATTGTTTTTTTTTTAGGTTCGGTCTGTGTCATTAAGTGAAAATGGACAGTATTTGGTAACAGTTGGTAACAGACATGTAAAGTTTTGGTACTTGAATTCTGAAACTTCTTCGACAGTATGGATATATGGTTTTATATGTTCATTTTTGTATACATTTTTTTATAAGCTGAGATCCTTTCACCAAATTATAATGTATTGTTGTATGCGTGCCCAAAAAATTAATTTTTTCCCTATAAATCATGGAATCATAAAATAAAACAAATATAGATGATTCTAATTTAAATGTAGTAACAAATTAGTTCATTATTTCTTCACAAAAATACAATAGATAAAAATTTTTTGCATGCAATAATATTTATAAAACTAATGTTATATAAAAGAATAATTTAAATAAGTTATTTTAATTTTTTTTTAAATTAACATTAGTTTTGTATAATTTTATGCTATGATAGATTATGAAAGTATTATATATTTTTGTTCAGTTAACTCTTTATTTAATATAAATCTGTATACATTCTTCAAAAAAAGAAACTTTGATTTAAAGCTTGGTTTTCTTGATGCTTTATTTTTTTCTGTCATCCATATTTATATTTATATACTTTTTATTTTTAAAAAAACTTGGAGTAATCGTAAGATTACTCATTAAAAAAAAGTTTATATTATATTTTATTTATATTATTATATATCTATTGTTTGTTTTTTTAGTATAAATTTTCTGCTCAGTATAAAAAATATAAATTTAATCTCTATTTGTGTATCTTACATGTATACTTTCATGTCATTTTGTGTATGCTTCCATGTTACTTATGTTAAAAATTAAAACTTACTTGCATATTAAAACTTACTTAAAATCTTGTGGATGTTTGAATTTTAACATGTTTTTCAATAATCTTTTGAGAAGCTTATTTTTTTTAAAATATATATGATAGTTTAAATCTTGAATTAAAAAAATATATATGATAATTTAAATCTTAAATTAAAAAAAAAAAAAAAAGTTTGTATCTTGTCAAAATATTCATTTTAAGTTGATGATGAAGTAAAAATTAAGTAAAAAAAATACTTTAGCATTAAAAAAACATTAAAAATTAATATTTAAAAAAAATTTTTAAAGATAATTAACTAACATACTAAGGAAGAAAAAAGTTTTAATCATATAGTTATTGTAGTAGTTGTAGTAGTTGTCATAGTAATTGTCATAAAAACATAAAAAAAAAATTATTTCAAGTTAAAGTTTGTTGAAATACCGTTAAAGCTTGAAAATTGGAAAAGAAAATCCATAATTGTAACTCCAAATGAGTATGCAAAGCTACTGCAATTAAAACTCCAAAACAGTATTCAAAGCTGAGCAATTGAATGCCCAAACTGTTCTGACAAATGTAATTCCACTGGGAAAACGCAAGTGTAAAAACTTTGTGCTCAAGTTTTGAAAAAATTGAATTTTTGGTCATTCATCAATTTAATGGCTGCATTAAATTGATGAATGACCAGACTTACACAAAATGTGAATTTAGTCAACTTCCTAGTGATATTATTCTTCAATTTTTTGTGGTAGTCTATTCAACAAACTTGTTGCTTTATATTGTTTGCAATATTTATACCTCGGAATTGCATGTTAGACCTTGTTTGTTTTGGCCTGACTTTGTCCCACTACACTAATATAACTTTGGAGTAATATTAATTGAGAAAGGTTATTTTTTTTATCACAAAAGCTCAATCCACCTAGTTGCCCACAATTCTGGCCGGATGGAAAATACTTGGGTGTTGGCAAAAGATATTTGCATAAAACAGGAAAGACTAATGAGAGAAAGACTATATTAAACAGAAAGCAAAAAAATTCAGTACAAGATTTGCTCAAGGCATTGTCAACTTAAGCAAGAAAATGACAACAACATTTGTGCTGAAGTTAATGGGTATCATCACTAGTAATGTACAATTATTTTTAAGAAATAAATAAAAATTTTGAAACTAAAAATATTTTTATGCTTTTTTGTTTACTGAATAAAAGTTTTGAAGAAATTTGTAAAAAACAGTTGTTTAAAAGATTTTCCTCTCTCATTTTTTTCAATCTCATGCTTTATATGAAAATTTTTTTTTTTGAAATATGTTTGATATTCGATTCTTCTTAGTAAGATGTAATATCATAACTTTATATTGCTAAGTTTTTTGTAAAAAAAAAAAGATTTTTTTCTTTTACTCGACTAGATTATTTATTTACTAGTTGAAAAGGAAACATCGTTATAGCAGAGCTAATCGAGACGAGTTCCCTTCATATTGAAGTACTACTCATATGCTGAGTAGGCGGAGCTGGGATTTGAACCTGCAAATCTGCTGCTACAGCCAATAATTATTCCAAACTTTATAGCAGCGCTTTAACCAATTGAGCTATCCCGGCACTAATCAACTGAGCTATCCCGGCACTTTTGTAGCATTATGTAAAGTAAATAAATAGGATTTATATTATATAAGTATTATTTATAAGCAATTATTTTATTGTTATATATTATTTTAAATTTATACATGTATTACATTTGACTCAACTGTTAATGATAAAAAAAAATTATTTTAAATGTTTTTTTTTAAAAGCCGCATTAAAGCAAAAATTAAAACTTTAGTAAAAGTAAATTAATCATAATTCATAATTATTTATTATGTTAAGGAAATGTTTATAGCATAAATGTTATTTAACATTAATTTAAACCATAATTTTTATTCGAAATACTTTTAAAACTTTTTTGGATAATTAAACTAGCACACATAGTCAGCAAATATAGTCTATTCCTAGAAATATTTTTACAACAATTTAGACATTAGTTTAGACCAAAAAATAAGCTTTGAGTAAAACTAGACTAGGTGAACTTTACTTTGAGTAAAACTAAACGAGGTGAACTTTACATTGAGTAAAACTAAACGAGGTGAACTTTACTTTGAGTAAAACTAAACTAGGTGAACTTTACTTTGAGTAAAACTTAAACGTAAGACTTTGAGCAAAACATAAAACTTGAAGTAAAACTTAAACGTAAACTTTAAGTAAAACTTTGAGTTTAAACTAGGTGACCAAATTATGAGCATAATTTCTCAGATTCTTACTATTTCAAAATTTAATTAGTTGAACTAAACATTTGTTTTGAATTTTTAACATTATGTTTTGTATCGACAATATATAATATAGCGTAAAATATAATGGCTTTACATGATGTCATAGTCGCTTTTTAGTATTTTGGTCAGGTAAATTCGATACATTTAAAAAATTTTTATAATGAATCAAAATGCAAAATGTGTTAATCATTGTTTATTTACAGGGAGGGTATTCAATTTTTAATTTAATTGTTGTTACAACCCTTTTGTTACTCTAAACACACACACAAATATCTTTGTATCAAATTGCATTGTATGAATCGTAATAGATTAAAATTGAAAATAAAAACTTTTGTTGAATTTTAGCAGAACATCCCAATTGCTCCAATCACAGGTCGTTCTGGTATACTTGGTGACCAACGAAATAACTGTTTTACAGATGTGATGTGTGGGCGTGGAAAGAATTCTTCATTTACATACTGTGTTACCAAGTCTGGATTATTATGTCTTTTTAGTGAAAAGCGTATTTTGGATAAATGGGTTCAGCTTAAGGTATTTCTTATTTATATTTATTTTTTATTTCATAAATTTTGTCATACAGTAAGTGTAAAATAAGATATATATATATATATATATATATATATATATATATATATTATATATATATATATATATATTGCATATATATATATATATATATTGCATATATATATATATATATATATATATATATATATATATATATATATATATATTGCATTCCAATATAATGCTTTTATTGATTTTGCTGGTAATATATGCATATACTGATTTAAGATTTAGTTTAGAATTTGGTGCTAACTTTCTTTCGAAATCCTGGATACTTTTTTTCACCTTTTTTTCAATTTCCAATTTCAAATGTTCGTATGCTGTAACCAACACATAATTACTAAATTTTGAAGTAGATCATATTGAAGTAAATTGTAACTTTTATACCTACTTATTGACAGATAAATAAAATCTCCACATAGCAGTATATCAGAGCATTTATTCTTTTTATACAGATTGCTAATTTGTTTAATTGAGCAGATTATAGCTAAATTTTCCATTTTACTACATGAACCCTGGTGATAAATACAACCACAAATGATCTTTTCTGATCTGACTTCAATAAGAACCAAATTTTCTCAATTATTTCAGAGTTAAGTCGTCTGTAACATAGGATTTGATTTTTTAATATAAATACCTCCTCCTGCTCTACTATCTCTATCTTTTCTAAATAAATTTATATACAAATGCAACGCCTCTAAACAATAAGTGATATATCTGATCACTTATTGTTTAGAGGCGTTGCATTTGTATATATGCATTTTGAATGTTTGTTTTTTTTAAGTTAGTTGAATGGGCTTTTTTTTTCAACTTTTATCTGACTTTTTGCGTTTAATAGTTTCAATTTTTTATTTTTGTTTTTTTGTATTGTGTTGCTCCTGATACCATATTAAAAGGGTGATTTTTCTGACAGATTGGCATTTAGTTGGTTTCTTTCCTTACGCAAATCATAATCTAATTTGGCTTGTGCTGGTGTCATATCCGGATTAATGAATACATTAGGAAAAACATTGTTTCCTTTTAATTTTTTTTTTGCTACAGATAGAACCAGAGTTCTTAGTTCTGGTGATGATAACTCGACAAGTATTGCCCATTTAGCATTTTGAATGCTTACTTTTGGTTAACAATAAACAATTGTACTCTAAATTTTTGTATTTATTTATATTCACTTTTTAAACAAACAACAATTTAAATTAGATTTGTTCATCTTAAACATCTTATTTATATCTTATTATTATTATATATATATATATATATATATATATATATATATATATTTATATATATATATATATATATATATATCTTATTATAGGTATATATATAAATACATATATATATATATATATATATATATATATATATATATATATATATATATATATATATATATATATCTTATACATCTTATATATATCTTATTATTATTATAGAGAGTGTTATAACCACAAGTAGCCTCTTTATCTGTAGTGATCTTCTTGGCCTTGGGGAGATGAAGTATAATATATATATATATATATATATATATATATATATATATATATATATATATATATATATATATATATATATATATCTTATACATCTTATATATATCTTATTATTATTATAGAGAGTGTTATAACCACAAGTAGCCTCTTTATCTGTAGTGATCTTCTTGGCCTTGGGGAGATGAAGTATAATATATATATATATATATATATATATATATATATATATATATATATATATATATGTATACTTGAGTGAGTGTATTTTTTGAGTGAGTATACTTATTATTTAATGTTAGTTAAACATATCTAAACAGTTATTTGAAATATATTTATGTAACTTGAACTTTTATAAATAAGCTAAATAGGAACCTAGAAACATATAATCCACATTATAAAATATACTTATGCATATATACTATTTAATACACAATTAGTTTGCAAAGCAAACAGTAGCAAATCCTACAAAAAAGTGCGTTGAATGAATTTAAAACACAACTTTCTTGTTCACAACTTTGTTGTTATGACAATATCAAAACTTACTAAAATGACTTAGTAAAATGCCATTGTATATAAAATTAAATGAAACAAAACATTAGAATAATATTTTTAAAACTTAAGGTTAATGCAATCTTTAACAAAAAATAAACTATAAAAATTATCAGTCTGTTTTCGTATATTTTATTGTGATTAGAAATATAAAAAAAACTACAGACCAGTCAAAAACAAACAAAAAGTCAAAAGTTGTTAATAATTTAATAAAGGTAAATAAGTATAAAAATAAACAATTTAACCAAGATATAAAACAAATATAGCACAAATGAGGGTTATTTGTATTTTGTATACAGTAAGTGTAAAATAAGATATATATATATATATATATATATATATATATATATATATATATATATATATATATATATATATATATATATATATATTGCATATATATATATATATATTGCATATATATATATATATATATTGCATATATATATATATATATATATATATATATATATTGCATTCCAATATAATGCTTTTATTGATTTTGCTGGTAATATATGCATATACTGATTTAAGATTTAGTTTAGAATTTGGTGCTAACTTTCTTTCGAAATCCTGGATACTTTTTTTCACCTTTTTTTCAATTTCCAATTTCAAATGTTCGTATGCTGTAACCAACACATAATTACTAAATTTTGAAGTAGATCATATTGAAGTAAATTGTAACTTTTATACCTACTTATTGACAGATAAATAAAATCTCCACATAGCAGTATATCAGAGCATTTATTCTTTTTATACAGATTGCTAATTTGTTTAATTGAGCAGATTATAGCTAAATTTTCCATTTTACTACATGAACCCTGGTGATAAATACAACCACAAATGATCTTTTCTGATCTGACTTCAATAAGAACCAAATTTTCTCAATTATTTCAGAGTTAAGTCGTCTGTAACATAGGATTTGATTTTTTAATATAAATACCTCCTCCTGCTCTACTATCTCTATCTTTTCTAAATAAATTTATATACAAATGCAACGCCTCTAAACAATAAGTGATATATCTGATCACTTATTGTTTAGAGGCGTTGCATTTGTATATATGCATTTTGAATGTTTGTTTTTTTTAAGTTAGTTGAATGGTCTTTTTTTTTCAACTTTTATCTGACTTTTTGCGTTTAATAGTTTCAATTTTTTATTTTTGTTTTTTTGTATTGTGTTGCTCCTGATACCATATTAAAAGGGTGATTTTTCTGACAGATTGGCATTTAGTTGGTTTCTTTCCTTACGCAAATCATAATCTAATTTGGCTTGTGCTGGTGTCATATCCGGATTAATGAATACATTAGGAAAAACATTGTTTCCTTTTAATTTTTTTTTTGCTACAGATAGAACCAGAGTTCTTAGTTCTGGTGATGATAACTCGACAAGTATTGCCCATTTAGCATTTTGAATGCTTACTTTTGGTTAACAATAAACAATTGTACTCTAAATTTTTGTATTTATTTATATTCACTTTTTAAACAAACAACAATTTAAATTAGATTTGTTCATCTTAAACATCTTATTTATATCTTATTATTATTATATATATATATATATATATATATATATATATTTTATATATATATATATATATATATATCTTATTATAGGTATATATATAAATACATATATATATATATATATATATATATATATATATATATATATATATATATATATATATATATATATATCTTATACATCTTATATATATCTTATTATTATTATAGAGAGTGTTATAACCACAAGTAGCCTCTTTATCTGTAGTGATCTTCTTGGCCTTGGGGAGATGAAGTATAATATATATATATATATATATATATATATATATATATATATATATATATATATATATATATATATCTTATACATCTTATATATATCTTATTATTATTATAGAGAGTGTTATAACCACAAGTAGCCTCTTTATCTGTAGTGATCTTCTTGGCCTTGGGGAGATGAAGTATAATATATATATATATATATATATATATATATATATATATATATATATATATATATATATATATATATATATATATATATGTATACTTGAGTGAGTGTATTTTTTGAGTGAGTATACTTATTATTTAATGTTAGTTAAACATATCTAAACAGTTATTTGAAATATATTTATGTAACTTGAACTTTTATAAATAAGCTAAATAGGAACCTAGAAACATATAATCCACATTATAAAATATACTTATGCATATATACTATTTAATACACAATTAGTTTGCAAAGCAAACAGTAGCAAATCCTACAAAAAAGTGCGTTGAATGAATTTAAAACACAACTTTCTTGTTCACAACTTTGTTGTTATGACAATATCAAAACTTACTAAAATGACTTAGTAAAATGCCATTGTATATAAAATTAAATGAAACAAAACATTAGAATAATATTTTTAAAACTTAAGGTTAATGCAATCTTTAACAAAAAATAAACTATAAAAATTATCAGTCTGTTTTCGTATATTTTATTGTGATTAGAAATATAAAAAAAACTACAGACCAGTCAAAAACAAACAAAAAGTCAAAAGTTGTTAATAATTTAATAAAGGTAAATAAGTATAAAAATAAACAATTTAACCAAGATATAAAACAAATATAGCACAAATGAGGGTTATTTGTATTTTGGCATGCTTTTTTTTAAATTCAAGTCCTGTTTTAACTCAGATAATTTGCTATAAGTGACATGACATTACCTAACAAGTTCTTAATAACTATAGTTATTGGGAAAGAAATTACAAGAAAAGAAATTCCAATAAAGTTTGTGTTAACAAAAGTAAAACTGTGAGAAAAAAGTTACAGAAAGATATAAAATCAAACACTTAACAATAAATGGTGAGATTTTTTGCATAAGTGCATATAAACAAAGTGGTTTACCTGAGTTTACAACAAAATGGTGAGTTTTACATGAGTGTATATTAATGTTGTGATAGGTAGGTTGTGCAAATACAATAGCAGACTGCAGTAAAACAAAATAAAAATAAAAAAAATGTTGCAATAAAAAAAGTTGCTGTATTACTGAAATTAAAATAAAGTAAAAATTAAGTTGCAATGGAACATAATAATTGCTGCATACTTAGATGCACAAGATGTCATTAAATCAAAATAAGGATAGACAGAATATGTTAATATACTTTTATATTTAAGGCTGGTTGCACAAATTGTTTGGTTGTAACTGAAAAACATATTTACTGTGGATGTTCTGATGGCATTATAAGGTAATTCTAAATTATATATTTTATTAATATTATTATAAAAATATTTGATTAATTTATAAATACTTCAATTAAAATGTACAAAAGTTTAAGTGTTTAAAAATGTTACTTTTAGAGTTTTTAATCCAAGTGAAATCAAGTTCTTGGCCACATTGCCTTTGCCTCATAAACTTGGCATTAATGTTTGTGGTAGTAAAAAGTAAGTTTTTTTTTTGATGTTTTTTTAAAAAAGGTTAAAATTTTCAAATAAAATTATTGATACATTTATTCATTAGTCAGGAAAATATTACTGTGCAGCTGAAAAATTATCCGGATGTGGTTGCTCTAGCTGTTGACGAACACAGTTTTATTGTAAGCTGTATTTGACTGTTTAATTTTTATTTTTTTATTTTGAATTTCTATCCTACTGACTATATGTCTTTTACCATTTCTGGTGAATAGAGGTTGTAATAATATAAGTTACAGGTAGTATAATAAATTATTGTAAATACACAATAAAAGATGGTTAAAAAATTAAATGATGTTTACATATTTCGCTTACATAGAAGTCAATATAGTCTGTATATTGACTGATTCTAGTCACAAAAATCGTAGAATTTAGAGATATGTTAAAAGAACTAATAGAACTTAGAGATATGTTAAAAGAACCAATAGGCTGTATGTCCAGAAGAATGTTGATGTTTTTATCAACTGGCTACATGTCCTTTGAACAATCAGAGAAGTTGTTAGCAAGCTGTTTACATGCTACTTATTAACATGCTGTTTACATGAGTTTCAGCAGTTAAACAAGCCCTAAAATCTTCACTTGTTGTCAACAAAATGGTGTACAATAAAATAATTAAAGAAAAGAATTTCATGTTTCTAAACAGAATTTAATCTGTTATTTAATCTGTTTATATTCACATCAAACCTAATCTTGTTGATAATTTTATGTTATATAACTGAGTTGATGTTGTTTAGTAACAATATATTACTAAATTCTTAGGGTGCTAATTTGATATTGCTATTGCAATGCTTATTAATTATATTGTTGAAAAATGACTTAAATGACTGTTCATCATGTTTGTTGGACAATTTGAAATTTAAAAAATTTTAATTTCTTGTATTGTACTTAATGTTATCAAAGTTAATAAAATCAAACTGTTTGAATAAGTTTTTGTAAAAAATTATTTTATTGCATAGTTTTAATGCTCTGCATAAGAATCAATGGTTAAAACTTTTATGCTTTAAGTTGTTGATTGATTTGAAATATATCTTTATTTTTAATATTAATTTCGAGTAGTAAAAATAAAGTTATATAGTATGTATTGCTAAGGTTTTGTATTTCTTTTTTCATGTAGTAATTTATAAGACTTGTTTAAATTATAAGAGTGCAGTAATCAAAGTTAGATTTTCATTAATGTATTCTTTTGTTGTACTTTTTTGACAGAAATCCTTTTGGTTCTAGGAATCCTTTGATTATGCTTATGTACAGAATCTCATTATAAGAAAGGAAAAAATTTGAAACTATTTGGTTTTGTAATTTTACAGCTTTTTTCAAAATGTCTTAAAATGCTTTTGTGTATTTCAAGAGTAATGTGATAGTTTCTCTCGAAAAACACAAAATCAACTATTTATTCATTGTGATCATCTAAATTAATATATTTTGTAAAAAAAAAATCAAATTTAATTTTTTTTTACCTGTTTTGAAGAAAAGCTGTTGACTTGTATATATTGTTAAAATGTTCTCGTTGTTTTTGTTTTTTTGTTGATTTTGTTGATTGTTAGTTTCAAATTCTTTTTATATCAATATCTAGAATTCTGTTTAGAAACATGAAATTCTTTTCTTTAATTATTTTATTGTACACCATTTTGTTGACAACAAGTGAAGATTTTAGGGCTTGTTTAACTGCTGAAACTCATGTAAATAGCATGTTAATAAGTAGCATGTAAACAGCTTGCTAACAACTTCTCTGATTGTTCAAAGGACATGTAGCCAGTTGATAAAAACATCAACATTCTTCTGGGCATACAGCCTATTGGTTCTTTTAACATATCTCTAAGTTCTATTAGTTCTTTTAACATATCTCTAAATTCTACGATTTTTGTGACTAGAATCAGTCAATATACAGACTTCATCCTGAAGATCATATTTTAATAATAAACAGAATAAAAGTCAAATGTAGACATATGGCCTATTGGTTATCAACTGGGAATATAAAAACATAGTTTAGTACTTGAAAATAATAGCAACATAAAATGTTAATACTATTATTACTGATTTTTTTTTCTTTCTATAGTACATTTGATTAAATAAGAAATAAAATGATAGCAAATTAAATTTTACTAATTGATTGAAAAACATTAATTGCGATTTAAAAATAACTTTTTTAAATTTTTTTTTTTTTTTTTTGTTTAGTTATCTAGTGTGTACAACGATCACAGCTTGTATATTTGGGATATACATGATGTTCATAATGTGCACAAGCTCAATTCTTTCTTATATCATAGTGCTTGTATTTGGGGAGTAGAGGTATTTTTTATTTAGTTTATATTAGCAACTTCACGTTTAAAATTTCTGTTAATTTTAATAAATTTAAATTTGTTTATTATTAACATAGCTAATGTAATTAGCATTTAAGAATAATGAGTTTGATATTAACAAGTAATGTGACATCATTAAATAACACTTCTTTGCTCTATTCTGCAGATTGTTAAATAACTCTATTCTGCAGATTATCAAATAACTCTATTCTGCAGACTGTTAAATGACATCTTATTAAATAACTTAGTTCCTGGTGAAATGAAAGTAAATTATAACATTACAAAAAAGGAATGTGATGCCTTAGAGGAACTAAAGAGAAACAACAAAATAATCATTAAATCTGCTGATATAGAAGGCTGTTTAGTTCTGATGGATGCAGACTACTATAAAGATAAACTTGTGTACCAAGACCGTTTATTAACTGAAACATAAAAAGGCGACAGATGAAATATGTTTTTAGAAAACACAGATGAAATATGTTTTTAGAAACTAAAAAATTACGTGGATAAGTTTAAAGAATGTTTAACAAAAAAAGAAACTCTCAAAAAAAAAGTCTCAAAAACTATGAACGGAAGACTAGCAATTTTTATGTGTTACCAAAAATTCACTAATCTAATGCAATAAAAAATTTTATAAAAGAATTTAATAAAGTATATATTGAATGTTTATGCCCAAATGATCTAAATGGAAGACTAATATTTGGAGGTTCTTTTTCACCTATGCAACTCCCTAATGAACTTGTCGAAAAAATCTTATCACCTCTTGTACCAAAATTAACAACATATATCGAAGATTATTGGCATTTCATTAGAGTACTACCTAATAATATGGAGTACCAAAATACCACTTTGATATTTCTAACCTTTATACTAGTATTTCTCATGAACGTTAAAATTTGGATATGTAAACTATGTGATGATATACCTATCAGATTTTCGTAAGCTTTTATTTTAGAAAGCATGAATTTTATTTTAAAGAACAATAAATTTACTTTCAATAATGAGTTTTTCAATCAATTAATCGGAACAGCTATGGGAACAAAAATGGCTCCACCATATGCTTGTTTAATTGTAGGATTGTTGAAGAAGTGAAATTATTTCCTAAAGTTTTACCAAATTTTTTCAATAAAATTAAATTCGAGAATATTCAAAACAATTTCAAAAGATATATGGATGATGGTTTTGTCGCTTTATTAAAAACAATTAATGTTAATTTGCTGTTAAAGTGTCTTAATTCTTTACACCCCTATATCAAATATACAGAAGAAATCTAAAATTTCAAATACGAAAACCACAGAGTACTATTTTTTAAACTTTTTAGACATAACAGTTATTCTACATGATAACAACATTGAAACAGATATTTTTTATAAACCTATAAATTCCTATGATAATCTCAATTACAATAGCCATCACCCTAAACATACAAAGGAAAATATATCTTTCACATTAGCTAAGCAAATAATTTGTTTTGTGTTTAGTCTAACAAAAATGGAAATCAGACTTCAACAACTAAAACAATTTTTAGTTCGATTACCCAGTAAAAATCATTAATAATAGAATTTTTAAAGCTCGACTACAGGGACCAGCACCTCAAAAAAGGGAAGTTAACAAAATTATACCTTTTGTAACTACAAATTTTGAAAATGTTAATTTTGAAAATTTGTTAATTACTCTACATGGTTTTTTAAAACTATCTGTTTTAGACAATATATTAAAATCAGTTTTTGAAAACACTTCTATTGTACTATCACAATGCCGACCAAAAAATATTTTAAGATACATAAGTACATCAAGTTTTAAATAAGAAACCAGTGATGAATGCAAGGTTTTAAATGCGTATCCTAATAACCTAAGGTTAAAAACTAATCTATGCATCTACACATGCAGAACAGGTATCGGTTCAGATAAATTTGATCAACATGTTTTTAATTGCCATAAAAATGAACCTTTTTTTAAATTATTTCTAATTTTAAAACTTTCAAATGAGAATTTACTTCTTATTTATGAAGCTCACCTACATAAACAGAGACATGACAGAATGAACATATAAACATAAAGTAATTATTTTTACATTACTTTTAAAATTTCCTTACCAACAAGAATCAATTTATACTACATTATTGTTAATTATTGTTTTCTTATATAAACCTTATACTCCTTTTTAAACTTTTTATAGAAAGTTCAATATAAAGAGTTTTTTTATAGTTTTGTAAATCTCATACAGAGCTGAAGATTTTATATAAAAGGCTTTCTATTTTTCTTCTTTCTATTATTGATCTGTAATAGAATCATCAACCCATCTTAATGGAGGCGAATAAAAAGTGACAAACATTTTTCAACAGCATTCATAAAAAAATTTTTTTTAGTATAAAGTATTCAATTTTAGTATTAAGTATTCAATTTTTTTAATATTGTATTAAATTTCTTTTGATATTAAAAGAAAAAAATTCAACACTATATTACTTGGATATTATCAAACTTCTTTTTTTAAGTAAATAAAAATCTGTGCATGCAAGTTTTGTTTTAAACAAATTAACTTTAGCAGGTAGTTTAAACGTTAGTTATTTGCAAGTTCAAATTTAAAAAATACATTGATTTTATTCCAAATTATAATTTTAAAAACAATATGAGTTCGTTAATTTTTGAGCATTAAAAATTAATGAACTTGTATTTTTTATGATTTTAGTTTCAATCATGAAGAACTCAGACAAAAATTTAAACAATGAAAAAAAAACAAAAATTTAAACAAAGAAAAAAACAATATATATATATATAAATATATATATATATATATATATATATATATATATATATATATATATATATATATATATATATATATATATATATATATAATATCAGGCCTTGTTTTAAAGCGTTACGCCTAGAGCGATTTACGTTTATTACGTCTATTACGATTTACGCCTTAAGCGATTTTTACGTACGCGTAGAGCTGTTTTGGTTAAGCTACTTTTTATCATTTTTTAACTTTTAAATTAGTGGTAACATAAAAGAAGTAATTAATTTTTAAAAAAACCACATTAACTTTTGAATATCGATATGTAAAAATATTTATTACAAAAAAGAAGTTACGTTAAAAATAATTGAAGTAACTTTTCATTGCGATATATTATACGTTTTTATAACATTTAATTTTATGCTAAACTTTTTATTCAAATATTTAGTAACATGAAAAATTGTTCGTCAATCCTTAACTAAAAATTTTTTGCAAATGTTTTTAATAAAAAGTAGTAACTTTTAAAGTTTTCAGTAAAAAACTTTTTTAAAATCTATATTCCAAACTTATTAATACAGAGTATAAATGTTTTTTGTAATATAGATTTTTTAAGAATTTTTTGCTAAATTCATATTAAAAAACATTTGCAAAAAATTTGTAATTAAGGGTTGACATTTTTTTAAAATCTCAATAAAATATATTAAGGCATAAAATTATTATATATTTTAATTTTAATTTACAAGTGTTTGTAGTTTCACTACAAAGTATTTAGAAAAAATTTAAGTTTTAAAGTTATTTAATCCAAGCTTAATTACTTCAAAGCTTAATTGTTTAAAATTTTGAAACTTTAATTTTTTTGAATATCTACTAAGCAAATTAAACGTTAAAAAAAAAAAAGTTTTTATTATGTTTTAAGGATTTGAACCCTTATCCAATGCAGATATAACAGTCATGCCTCTATAAATTAAACATTTGATCAATCTAGCCGTATTGGAAAAATAATTAGCTATAAACTGTTAATTGAAACACTTAAATTTAAAAATGTATTAGTTCTATGCTTTCATTTTCTCTGATTTATCCTTTATTTATTTAGTCATTTGTTAAGTTGGTTTCTCTTTTTAATTTATGATTTACTTATTTTTAAATTTCTCTTTAAATTAGTTTGGTTTTTTCAGCACATTTTATAAAATATGCAAATTATCAATATATGCAAAAAACTGTGGCCAAGTTGTAAAAAATATAAGGCATGCAACCACACACATCTCCTAAGAAGGTTCGATATATATATATATATATATATATATATATATATATATATATATATACAACCCTCGGATTTAGTGTCGGCATTTGGCAATACCAACCTATTATTAAATGAGGTTGATACCTACCTATTATTACCTATAGTAATAATAGGTCGGTACCGATAGTAATGAGGTTGATACCGACTTATTATTGACCTATTAATAATAGGTCAAAATGGACCTCATTTTTCCTAATTCCAAGAGAATGTGTGTGTATATATATATATGTATATATATATATATATATATATATATATATATATATATATATATATATATATATATATATATATATATATATATATATATATATATATATATATATATATATTGTGGGAAGAGGTGGAGTTTCTAATCTCCCTCATGCACTCTTTTAAATCTTTCTATGCTATGCCCACCTTTATCCATAAGCATAATGTTTTTTACAAAATTTAAGTAAGATATGTTGTTAATCAACTCCAGAGTTTTAAATAATTTTTACTCTAGCATATGTATTAATTTACTATTTATTTATTATTAATATACTTAATTTGCAATCAATTTGCTTTTAGTAAATCAACTGCAGAGATATTCATAGATAATAATTAAATGCTGAGATATGCATAAATAATTTTAAAAATGAAATTAACTTTATGAAAAATTATAAATTTTGTTGCACAAATAGAGAAGGAAATTGAATAAAAAAAAAGATTAAGTTATTATTTAAATTTTAAAAATTAAATTAAAAAGTTTAAATTAAAATAGCTATTAAACACCGCTTGACTCTATGGGTTTTAAGTTGAATTTCAAAAGATTATATTAATATGTAAATGTACATGCTGGAATGAGTTGAAAATAAAATCTTAAGCATTCCTTCTTAGTCCAAAATTGATGTTTTCCGAATTCCAGAAAAAAATGTTTAAAAAACAAAATCATTTTTATTATATTAGATATCTATTATTATAAATATCATATAAACCCACATGACCATCCATTGTCTTTCTCTTCAAAATTTGGTTAACTTAATATATAATAATACCTTGAATGGTTAGATAACGTTATGGCTAACATGATTCTAGACTTATTTTTTTTGTCTGTTCTGTATAATAAATTAAAATAAAATGCATAGAAAACATTTTTTTTTTCATATATGTGATCATATATAATTTTTTATAATATTATATGAGATCATATATAATATATAAGTTAAAACATGCATGTTTTTAATTAAACTGTCATAAAGTTGTAGGCGAAAGCCGCTTTTTTAAGCTTCAATATGTGGTTTTTGTCTCTGCAACAGCATAGTGCTTCAATGTTTTTGTTAAATTTTATGTACAGCCTCAGGTGAGGTTTCTTGTTTCTATTAAGAAAATCTACAAGGTGGTATTTAATAGTATGGAACTTCAAACCAAAGTAATAATGTTTTGTCAAACACATTTTTACAATTCTAAACATTCGGCAGATTCAATAAACTACAATATATCTTCACTATATTTAGATTTTAGCTGCTGAAACTTTTTGCAACTAAAACATTTTTAGTATATAATTAGAACATTGGTGTTACCAGTATCATTTGATTCAATAGTTTTAAAACTTTACAATAGTTGGGTCTATCCAATCTGCCACTATTGCACCTATGCCGCATTACTGTTTTTTTGTCAAGAAAGGATTTCAGGCCCTCATTGACAATAAGACTGTCAACAATTTTTGTTTCAATGTGCTCATATGTGTGAAGTTCCAGAGGAAATATGGTATCAAGAATAAATTTTCTGGGATCTTCCTCAAGCAAAACTTTTAAAAGCATGGAAACGCTTCATAACTGAAGCAATTAAATCCTTTTCAATACCTAGTTGTAAAATCCCATATTCTAAACAATGTGAATTATAAATTACTGTTATAAATTATTTGAAAATAAATTAATTAACTGCCCTTTTAATTATATTATAAAATATTTAAACACCTAAATGACCAATATCTTTTTTTGTAAATCTTTTAGAATATCACAAACAACATTTTCAGGCAGATCATGATTTTTCTTGATATCAAATATTGTATCAGTAGTGACTACTTTATTTGTTTGGAGCCAGGGGCGTGCTGACTCCAAAAAGTACATGCGGGATCTTTCAAAAAGGCCCATATATGCCGGATTTTGCTTAATTTGAAGGCCAACATTTGTATATATATTTAAATATGTATGTATATATATATTCAAATATATAAATATATATACATATATACAGGGTCGGTGCAAGTAGGTGTTACATGGGGGGGGGGGGGTTGCCATTACAACTTTTCCCACCTTAAAAAAAAAAGGTCGGACTATCTAAATTTACCAGCTAACCTGTCGAAAGGGTCTACATTTGCCGACTAACTAGTCAAATAGGGTCAAATTTGCTGACTAACAAGTCAAAAAGGGTTAAATTTGCCGACTAAATGAACGAAAAAATCATTGATAAGGAGGTGTTACACCCCCACACACCCCATCGCTCCGGCCTTGCATATATATATATATATATATATATATATATATATATATATACATATCAATAAAAAATATAAATATATATATACATATCAATAAAAAAACTGACTGAAATACATATATATATACACATATCAATAAAAAAACTGACTTAATTCAGTTAAATCAACATACTAAAGCAACGAGTTATAATTGGATTAAAAATGGCACTGTGCTGCCGTAAGCATGTTTTATGTTTTCATTCCTAAAAATAAACAAATTTCACCTCGTTTTTATGGTAACCAAACAAAATTTCTATTTTATTGTTTAAAAAACATAAACGTTAAAATTTAAAAAGTATATATATTATTAAACTATATATATATATATATATATATATATATATATATATATATATATATATATATATATATATATATATATATATATATTACATATGCAAGAATTATTGTATTTTATATTGTATAAATACCAATATGAATATTTTTCCATTATTTAAAATTGAATACAATTATTTCTCATAATAATCATTGGCTAATTTAAATAATTTTATCTATATAATGACTGATATTATCAGCTATTTAAGTGACGTAACGATCCATTATTTTTTCCAATATGGACTTAATTTTGACGCAAAAGTTACAAACGGTTGCATTTTATTATGCAAAATACTAATATATATGCGTTTGAAGACCAACAGTTTGAATCAGAGATATTTAAAAGAATCTAACATCTGGAATAAAAAGTAAAGCAAATAAGTATCATTTGTGAATCATTTTCAGAATGTAATAAAGGGTATAAAAATTCAAAAAAAAAATAGCGATAGGCCCAAGAGGGATTCCCGAATAGCCTCTGGGGCCAGCATGCCACTGTTTGGAGCTTTGGTTTTAGTACTGCAGTTAGCAGTGATCTTCCTAAAATTAGAATAGAATATTGCAGCAAGTCATTATAAATAGATAAACAAATAAATAAAAATTTACCAGTGGATAATTGTAACGAGTTTCAGCCTTTACTAGAAATTTCAGAACAGTTGAGGTTATTTGCTCTGACATGATTTTGGAAAGAATAAGATTTTTAGCATTTTGAACAGCAGATGTTTTGGTGCATGGGTACCTGTATGCCTTTTCAAACTAGTTAAAAACAATCTGTGCGGAATGAGTTTAACCTTTCAATGCAGAAATTTTAATTTGACCCAATGATATAATCTTGTAAATTAAAAATCTTTTAGCTGCGCTTGTCTGATATCATAAAACAAATTAGACATAAGAATGTCAGTTGGAGTAACTCTTCCAATCTTTAAAAGTGTTTTACTTAACCAAACCTCTTCAATCTTTGTTGTTATCTTTGTTGTGAATTGTGTAATTTTTTGTATTTTTCTTAAAATATTTTATAAAAAAACAGACAATGAAAAGTCATGTGGGTTTATGTGATATTTATAATAAGAGATAAAATATAAAATAGCTAAAATAATAAAAATATTTTCTGGATTTCAAAAAATATCAATTTTGGATTAAGAAGGAACATTTACAATTTTATTTTTAACACATTTCAGCTTGTACTTATACACTTTAATAGAATCTGAAGAAAAAACTTTCTTTTGAAATTCAACCTAAAACCCATAGAATCAAGCAGTGTAAAGATTTGTATTTAAAATTTTAAATTATTAATTTACATAATTTACATAAATTAAATAAATTTAACAATAGTAATGTATAAGTATATACTAAATGCTGAATTTTCGATCACAACAATTAGAAATCAAGTTATAAAATACATGAGAAAATTATTATGACCTTTTTAACTAAAAGGTGGAAATTATTTTTGTTTTATTTAGACATACAAATGCTCAGGGGATGATCCCTTCTTACCATATGGATCATTTCTAACCTGCTCTTCTGACGATACTATACGAATATGGAATATGGATCAAGGTTTACTATGAATTATTATTTTCAAGTTTATGTAGTATTTTGTATCCTAGATTAAAAGACTACATGCTAAATTTAAATACTAAGTATAAAATACTTGAATAAAGTTTGTTAAATTTAAATGAATGGTTTACCTGGTTTCATTTTTTATTTCATAAGATAAATGTCATCTCATGAAATAAAAAATGGTCCAATGAACCCAGTTAACAAAAAAATTTTAGAGTTTAAAATTTTATTGATCTTAAATGAACTTAAATAATTATTGTATGAAATTAGACAATTTTGATAAAAGCAGATTAAAAAAATAAACAAAAGTATTTTTCTTTATTTTAAGGTTTAACAATGTAAGTCTTGATTAAAAGGTGGTCAACCACATTAGTGATAAAAATAACTTCTGAAAAGGTAATACCCAAAATAACGGCTCAATTTCCTTTAATTTATGGCTTTTCAAAAATTTGCAAAACCAATATTCCACTTTGCCTTATAGTTTCTGGTTGTGATGGGCTGACAGATAACTTATCTAAATTTGATGCAAAATACTGTAAATCTTCATTTTAAGGTTTAATGTTGTAAATGTGATCAATTAATGATTACTGATTACTATATTGCTTTTACTTAATGGCACTTAACAAAATGAAATTATGCAAATAAGATGACCTTTACAAAGTCAAACAATTTAATCTTTAATGAGATGTCTTGAGATTTTTTTCTTTATAAGATTAAGATGAAAGGTTCAAGTGTAGCAAACAACTAATTTTTTATAAATTCTGTATATTTAAAAGTGGTTTAAAAAACTAAAAGTTTATATTTTATTTTTATATTTTGTATTATTTTTAAACTCACTTTCATTTGTGTTTAGAACCAAACGAAAGTAATGTCTACTTTAAAAATGTGTACAGCAAAGTAAGTCTCTTTTTTGTGCACTTTATCATAGATAAATCATAGTTACATAATTTACTGAAACAAATAGTTACAGTTGTTATAAAATTAATGTTATTATACATTATAAGTATTTATGATTTTTTGCTAAAACTTTTCAAGAAAGGTTTTACTGAAAACTTTCTGAATGCTAAAGTTTAAAAATTGGATCTATAATCAACATTTCTTTTTATTTTAGAATACCTTAGTTTTGTACTTTTTTTCGCTGTAAATGCTGAAAAATTTATTTTTATTAATTTGAAAATATTGTGATAATAATTTAGGAATGAATAAGAGTGTAATATATTTTTTTTAAAAATAGGAATTACTGAAAATAGTCTACATTGATGAAGGGTTGTCAAATTTACAAGATACTTCAATGACCCCTCTTGGGAAAGATACAGACTCCAAGAATGGTGTACGATGCATGCAAATAAGCCCAAATGGACATTTATGTGCTGCAGGAGATAGATCAGGAAATTTAAGGTAACAATTCTAAATGTTTTTACTTTCTAACTTTGCTTGCATAACTATCATCATTAGCATTGTCAGAGTATCATCATCATCATCATCATCATCATCATCATCATCATCATCATCATCATCATCATCATCATCAGAGTATCATCAGTACTCTTTGTCATCATCAGATAATCATCATCACTACTTTTCAGCAAGAAAAAGAAGAAGGATAAATGGAATTGATCAAATAAATTTTTAGATAGAATTATTGCAAGAGTAACAAGATATCATCTTTTTCCAAGATATATCTAGAATTCCAGATACTTCTTTCAACTTTTCATTTTTCTGCTTTTTCAAGAGATTTTTTGTAAATACAACTTTAAATATATATTTTTGCACTGTATTACCCATACAAGAAGTAAGAAAAGTTTTTAAAAAAATTTAAGAAGCCATCAGCTTAAAAGTAAATTAAAACAAATATGAATTCCAAATTCTTGGCACAATGTTTTCTCAATTTTTAAAGTATGACCTGAATAACCACTGAGTAAAGTTTTTATGCCCAAAAAGAACAAAAAGGTTAGCCCTATTGTTGTTATCGGTGACTTTAATGCTCATTTCACTGAATGGTATAGCTCATGCTATAATCTCACTACAACTTTTAACTTGTTATTCTCCTACATCAATTCAAACTATCATCTGACTTTTTACTACTAATTTAAGGTTGACTATATAAATATTTCAATGCAATTACATTGTAAGTCCAAAATGCTTTTTTTTTTATGGTTCAAAAGATGTTCAAAAGAAGGAAAAAAATTAAATAAAATAAATCTAAAGATTAAATCAAACAAAAAGAATTATTGATGTTACTCATTTCTTGTTTTTTTATTTATTTTTTTGTTTTAATATGTTGTAATGTTGTAATTATTTTTTTAGTTTATTACTTTATTCAAATTGATCCTTGACTAACAATAATTAGTCACCATGTGACATCAAGTGTTTATTTTTGTTAATTATATCTTTTTTCTTTTTTTATTACAATATTGTTGATTTATTATAAACTCTTTATACATTTTGTTGCTGTGTTTTTTGTGTGTTATGTTTATTATGTTTTTGTTTGAGTTTTTTTTTTTATGTTTTGCAATCATTTTTTTTGTATTTTTTAATCATTGTTATAATTATTATATATTTATGTCATTGTGAATTGTTACTTTTTATCAGTTTTCAACTGTAACTTTCTAACTTTGTCAACCATTCATTTAACTTTGTCAATCATTGTGTACAAATTGTTATTGCTATTATAATTACTATTATTATTATTGCTATAATTATTTATGTTATTATTATTTTTATATTGTAAATTCAATCATTGATATTATATATTGTGAATATAAGTATATTATTATATATTGTTTTTATTATATTATTAACATTAGTAGGTGTATTTTTTGTTTTTACGTTTTTAATTTTTTGATTATTGCAATTTACACTTGCTTTTATTTATTAACATTGATGTTAGATTTTTTTTGTTTATTTCATTTAGGTGTCTCTCCATTGACTAGTTTTTAACTATATAAGTGAGACCTTACCTGCTTTTGTAATTATAAAATTTGTATTTTTTCAAATTTTAATTGAATAAATGGATAAAGTATCTCTACCACCAATATTTAAAAACTTTTAGCATTGATATTTCTCAGGCACTAATAATAAATTTCTGTGCATTAATAATATGTTTTTAACATTATATTATTATCACTTATATATATATATATATATATATATATATGCATATATATATATATATATATATATATATATATATATATATATATATATATATATATATATATATATATGCATATATATATATATTGTCCATGTTTGCTGACTTTATTATATGTTCAGGCTTTCACAGTCAAATTGTTAAAACATTTTTTTTTTACGTGGTCTTTATATGACCACGCAAAAAAAAATGTTTTAACGATTTGACCACGGTATATTTTTAAAATTTAAAAATGCGCTACAAAAACTTGCCTAAACTTATCTGAAAAAAAAAAATTTTAAAATAATAAATATTAACGAAAGAGAAAATAAAAAAAATACTTAGTTAAAGCAAAAACACAAAAAAATAAATATATATATATATATATATATATATATATATATATATATATATATATATATATATATATATATATATATATATATATATATATATATATATATATATATAAGGTAACTAAAACATAACTCATCAAACTAAAATGTTTAGTCTATTTAATTTACGCATTAAAAAAGCTTTTCAATCATTGTTTCAACATTTTTATATATTTTTTATTTATTTAATATGTTCAAAAGTTAAATATTTCTCATAAAAAATACATAGTTATATAAATAAAATAAAAAAATATTTTATTAATACTTTTTTTTAAATTAATTAGAAGTGTTTTTTTTTTTTATTTCATTAAAAGCGTTTCGATAATATAAAAGCATTCAAGATCAAACTTATTAAATTGTAACGGTTTTTTGAAAATTTTTTTTTTAAGGAAATTTTGTTTATCTTTTTAAATGCATTAACTTTAATCATTCTTATATTTAAATTTGTTAAAGAGACTTTCATAGTCGTAGAATGTCATCGTTTATAAAAACAAAACAATTTTTTATTTTTTAATAAGATTTTTTTTAGAAATAAACACTTAAACAATTTATATGTTTTAAATTAAAAAATATATACAACTGTCAATTATATTTAAAAGACAAAACTTTTTTTCAGTAAATTGTTACTTTATTTAAAATCGTTTCACTAATATAAAAACACTTGTTAAGAAGTTTTGATGTAATTAATTTCACTTTTTTAGAATATTTTTTATTTAGCGCATTTCTAAAATGTTTTTTGAATTAGCCACGGTCAAACCGTCATAGCAAAATGTAACTTGTGTGGTCATATAAAGACGTGAAATCGCACGTCTTGTGAAAGCCTGATGTTATACTTTTTTAAGACTAACACTTGATTACTTTTGAAGTTGAATTGTGTCATGCTACACTTTTTTAAGACTAACATTCCCACTACTTTTGAAGTTGAATTTTGTCATGTTTACTTTTTTAAGACTTACATTCCTACTACTTTTGATGTTGAATGTGTCATGTTACACTTTTTTAAGACTTAGTTTCCCATTACTTTTAAAGTTGAATTGTGACTTGAAACTTTTGAAGTTACTTAAAAGCAAGAATTTATTATTAACTTAAAAGCAAGACTTATTACCTTATTAACTTAAAAGCAAAAAACATAATTTTTAAACTCACAATCAATATAACTAAATAGCTAACAAATTGTTAATTTATCATAGGCAAAGATTTATATCATAATTTACCATAAATAAGCCAAGAATTGTCTTCACACTTGTTATATTTTTAGGATTTATAATTTGGAATTTTTTGACGAAATATATCGAATTGATGCCCATGAATCAGAAATTTTATGTGTAGAATTCTCAGATCCAAAGTCAGGTTAGTATTTACTTAAATTCTACTAATTCATAAAATGTTTCAATATTCAAATAATCATACAATGTTAAAAGTTTTTTTTTTTTAAGATTTCGAGTTGCTTGCAACATCAAGTCGAGATCGCTTGGTTCACATATTTGATGTTCGAAACAAGTTTAATCTTTTACAAACCATAGATGATCATTCATCATCCATAACTGCAGTGCGATTTAATTGTAATGTTTTTTTTGTTTTTTTATTTTAATTTTTTGCATTATTTTAAATTTCTATCAAAAGTCAAAGTATTATTATACTAGTTTTTATAAAAAACATTAAATTTTCCAAAGAGGTTTGAGCACAAGTTTTTTTTTTTGTAGATGATTTAGATGTTCTTCAATTGTTAAGCTGCGGAGCTGATAAAGTGGTGATGTTCCATACTGGTCAAACAGTAATTGCATTATTATGTTATGTGTATACACACAAACACACGCACATACACACAAACGCGCGCAAAGAACAAAAGTACAATGGAGATAATGGGTTAGGGTTCAGACAGATAGTTTTTATAAAGGAGATCTTTTTGCATTTTCTTTTTTCTTTTTTTATTATATCTATTATTATATTTTATATTATTATTTTTTATTATATCTATTATTATATTTTATTATAATATAATATAATGATTGGTTAAGTTTATGAGATGAAAAACAAGGAAACTCGTAAAAGACCTTAACGTCTTGTCGTTGAGAACTGCATTGTTTTTCAACTATATTTGTCACATTTATAATAATAAATATATATGTCTATATATATATATATATATATATATATATATATATATATATATATATATATATATATATATATATATATATATATAAATATATATATATATATATGTCACCCTAATATATATATATATATATATATATATATATATATATATATATATATATATATATATATATATATATATATATATATATATATATATGTCACCCTAATATATATATATATATATATATATATATATATATATATATGTATGTATATATATATATATGTATATATATATATATGTATATATTTATATATATATATATATATATATATATATATATATATATATATATATATATATATATATATATATATATATATATATATATATATATATATATATATATATATATATATATATATATATTAGGGTGACACAAAATTCACGATTTCAAAACATGTGTCAAAAACTCAATATGTTTTTAAAACATTTGTGTTCATTCACAATTATTTTTTAAAAACTTTAATTGCACCATAAACTTAGTGGATTGCATTTAATCACTTGGCAACTTTTGATTTATTAATTATCTTTCTTTAAACTTCGATTTTTTTTTTACTGTTAACATATCCGTACAAATGTTGAAAATCAAAGAGGAAAACAAAAGAAATTAGCTATAACGCTCGTAGGTCTGTTTACCTGCTTAACTCGCCTTTAAGCTATCTACCTACAAACTAACTTCCATCAAATAGAAGTGTTCTTCGATATTACTTGTTCCTAACTTCAGCTAGAAATAAGCAATTCAAACCTATAAAAACAAACTTTTCGTGTTCTTGAGCACAAGAGGATGTTATATGTAAAGGGAAAGATGAGTTTTGTAATTCAAATACCAAAAAGGACTGTTTACTTTGACAAATTGTAAATATTTGGAAGTCTACTGGTTTCAGTAATTACTTAATTTCTGAGAGTGGAAAAATTTAAATCTCTATACAGCAAAAATCAAAACTTTGTGCAGCTTTCAAAACCTTTCAAATCAAAAAGCAAATTTTCGAACGCCACAAAAATGACTTTTACAATATGGTAGAGCAATTGTTTGACATCAGTGTGAAGGACTTTGAGATAAAGTTGAGACACGATGAATCAATGCCTCGTGATACTTCTGCTTTACAAGAGGATTTGGCCTTCTTAGATGATCAAAGGTATTTTTTGCTCAAATTTTTTTGCAAAGATTTAATCTATTTTTCAATTATGATATATCTACTAATTTCTCCCTTACATGAAAAAATCATTTTTTTGAGAAATTTTGTTTTTTTATTCAAATTTATCCTACGCTAAGTGTTTTAACAACTTTTTGCACAGAACTAACAGAAATATGATCATATCTTCTAAAATTGATACAGAGCTTGAAGTAAGGTTTCAGAGAAAGATTGAAAGATGCAAGAGGAAAGAAGAATATAAATATCGAGTATAGAAGACCAACGATTCGATAATTCATGACAAGGAAGAAAAAATTGGGGAAAAAAGGCAATGTAATCACAACTTTTTTCCTAACAATGATATAAATTTCAATTTCGCAAGTGAGGAACCTACAGAACCTAAAAAAACAAGAGCTGAATCACAATTAGGTAATATTTAAGTATAATTTGTTAAATACATTAAAATATTTGTTTCAACTTATGATTAAATAAAAAGAGAGAATATAAACAATTTTTTCTAATAATGCACGAACATTTTAGGCAAAAATAGTCATTTTTTGAAGTAAATGTATAACTGAGCTAAAAATCTTTATTTTAATTTAGATGCTGGAAGTGTAATTGCCAAGTCGGAAGATTTTGTCCCAAATAAAAATGTTAATTTTCACGAAGCAAGCTCATCAGTAGCTCAAAGTAGGCATCATTTTAGACCAGCATATTACAGAGTAGAAAAGGAGATAACCAGTGACGGTCTCATTGCAGCAACAACTTCCACCAGTGTAAGGGCCGGTCTCAGCATTCGAGATCAAACCCTTCTTATTGCAAGAGTAGTAAACTATTTAGGAGGAGATGTTAAACAGCTAAAGTTAAGAGAGAATCTGTCAAAAGGCGACGTTACAGATTTTTAGAAGAGGAAGGAGGCCAGATGCGTAATGAATATATTAATTTAATGGCTAACAAGATGTTAGTTTTACATTTTGATGGTAAAATTTTAAAGCATATTGAGGAGGACACTAGACAGGCAACTACTGCAGATAGACTATCAATATCTGTTACTAGCCCTAAGTTTGAAACCAAAGATGATCTTTTACTTGGTGTTGTGCTAACTGATAGTGGTAAGGGAATCGATATGGCTATAAGTATTATGAATCTCCTAGAATATTTTGAAATTTGTGATTATATTGTAGGATTCTGTTCTGATACCACAGTAAGTAACACTGGATGGAAATCTGGTGCAATAACTATTATGGCAAGATTTCTTGATAAACCATTTCTTTGGTTATTGTGTAGACACCATATTGCTGAAATAAATATTACTTGGGCTTTTAAGGCAATTTCAATGGAAATGTCTAAAGCCCCTGCGAATAAGTTACTAAAAGATTTTCAGAAGAAATGGATAACAGAATTTTTACCTAAAGTTTCAGCTAGTGGTGCTGTAGAAAAGTTCAAACAATTTTCTGAGCAAGACCTTATTGTTGGTAGTGATCTCTGCAAACACTATTGGAAGTCTAAAAAGTTTGTAACTAAAGCACTAGAACATGAAATCTTCCCAAGGTATGTAAAAATATAAAATGAATTAGTTTTTCCATAAATATACTTTTTATTTTAAAGTTACTAAATAAAATTAGGAATATTTTAGGAATGATTACAGGCATCTTGTTGAATATTTCGCGTATTACATGAATGTTAAGTCTGAGAAATTAAATAATTTTCACATCGATCAGCCTGGCGTCTGTCACAATGCAAGGTTTATGGCCTATGCAATATATTTTCTAATGCTCGATATGACATCCACAGTCATTGAATATCTGACTCCTGAAAAGAAACATATGGCCTCAAGGGTAGCGTTTATTGTTGCTATTTATTATGGAATAATAAATAGCAACTTTCTTTTTATGACCTTTCTTAAATCAGGCGAAGCAGAGCATGCTGTTCTAATTGATTTTAATGTATTCAAAATTGCTGTAACAATTAAAACAGAATGGGAAACTTTGTTTACAGTTCCCACAATGAGGATCAGATACAGAACATTCTTTTGGTAGTCAGAGAGCACAGAAAACTTATAACAAAAGATATGTTGCTTAAGGAACTGGTAAAGCTAAAACCTAGAGTTGAAAAATTGTTGTAAAATAATAGCTAACTGTATGTAACTATAAACAGTATTTTTTTTCTTGTAAGATCAAACAAAAGTTTAGATATGAACATATTTTAACGCGTAAAAAATGACATAAAGTTCAGCCAATCCTCAATATTTGAAAAATTACATGTAGCATTTCCAACAAATAAAAATAAGTGATATTTTGTATTTAGACTAACTGAATGTTGTAGAACAGGATAAGCAACTGCGGTTATTGATTTTCGAAAAATTTTATTTTTAGACCCTACTTAGTGTCAACCATACTTAGTGTATATATATATATATATATATATATATATATATATATATATATATATATATATATATATATATATATATATATATATATATATATATGTGTGTATGTATTAGGATGGAGCGATTTCAAAAATTTTCAAATTAGATTAGCCTGAGGTACGAATGGATGTCTAATAGTAAAATAAGAATCTTACTTGTTTGTTTTTTTTTAAATATATGAGTTATTCAGGTTTCTCTTTTAATTCAAAAGTGATATTTTTGCCCAAAATAGACTAAAAAATTAATCTATTGTGAAGACATGCATGCGCAAGTTAAGTTTGTTAAAAATGCTAAAATAATTGCTCCTCCAGGTCCGCATTTTAATTTATCTAATATTATTGACATTGTTTTTTAAGAGATTTTAAAATATCAATATCAGCAAAAGATGCCTAAAACTTGTAAGGAATCGTTTTGCAAAGTGTTTGGCTTAGCCAAGGAATTCAATAAAAATGTTCTTCTAACACAAAAACATTTTTATTGAATTCTTATGAAACATTATCTTTTTTTCAGACTGGTATTAAAAGAGAATGCTAATGGAATTCCAATAATATCCGATTAATGAATTTTAAGCTTGATATCAAACATAAACGAAGAGTATAAGTCTATTAAAAAAAACCTTCATAAGTTACAAGACAAGGCAACAATATTTAGAAAAAAATGTGAAATAACTCTGCTTGATATATGTACTTGCAAATGTAAAAAAGATCAGAACTTCAAAAATGTGCAAGTAAGGATTATTTTGAAGTTCAAGGACTATTTTTTGATGGAAAGAAGGAAACATTTCAGCAGGATAAAAAAGGGGCAAATTACTACAGAAAATATGTTACAGAGAAACATATTGTTCTAGTTTCCGAACCTAAATCAAAATATTTGTGTCATGTAATGCCATCATCAGGAACTGCACTGGGTATTGCATCAAGCATTCAAACATTTTTAGAGGATCCAAATAAAAAATTTATATTAGAACAGGTAAAAGCTGTTGGATGTGATGGTACCGTCATAAATACTGGATGGAAAAACGGTGTTATAAGTCAATTAGAGTTATTCCTTGGCCGTCCTGTACAGTGGCTTATTTGTTTATTACACACTAATGAGTTGCCTTTGCGCCATCTAATACAACACTTAGATGGGAAAACAAATAATCCTACATTTAAAGGTTGTATTGGAAAAATGTTAGAAAATTTCAGTTATTTCTTTTGAAATTATTGAAGTGGAACTCCCGAAAATTGATGCAAAAGAGTTAAGTACTGATCAGAAATACCTTTTTGACATTTGTAATGGAATTTCGAGAGGTTATATATCAATGTCTTTGTCACTGCGAGATCCTGGAAAAACTTCACATTCACGTTGGTTAACAACAGCTAACAGAATTTTAAGGTTATATGTTTCAACATTAGATCCATCAATAGAACTGAAAATTTTAACTATATGATTAAAGTATACTCTACTTGCTGGTTTGAGATAAAAATGAAACCAACCTGTTTGTATGGATCCAATCATTTCTTTGGAATGATTAAAAAAATCTTGTTACTTATCTGATGAACTTAAGAGTATTGTTAATCCAGTATTACAAAGAAAAGCCTATTTCTGTCATCCAGAAAATATTTTGTTGTCTATGCTAGTGGATGAAAGAATGTACATTAGAGAATTAGCTTTAAGGCGAATTATCATATGTAGAGAATCATATGATAATCAGAGGGGTATTTGACCATTTAAAGTGCCAAATCTAAATTTTAATGCTGAAGATTACATAGGTATGATTAGTTGGCAATATGTTAATGTTACTGAGCCTCATTTAACAAGAAAATTATTTCCTCCACTTTTGATATAATTGATATTGAAAAAGTACCTTGCCACACTTAAGCAGTTGAACGATGTATAAAATTTGTATTAAATACTTCTACATCAGTTTGTGGAAATAAAGCAAGAGATGGAGTCATCCGAGCTAAGCTTACATTTTAGTGTGAATTACCAAGGTTTGAAACTAAAAAACATTTCATAAATTCATTAAAATAAATATAAATTCTGTCTAAATGATTTTTAAAAGAAATGTATTACTCAATAGTTTTTCTATTTCTATTTTCTTTTTTCTGTAATGTTCAGGGTTTCATTTTTACATTGTCCTAGGTATTGAGTCTTTGCCATCATTATAGAATTTATGGCCTAGTTACCTAATTATAACAAAGTAAAGGGATTTATTGATTATATGGGAACTTCAGTTTTGTTTGGTTTTTAAATAAGAAAAAGTTCTGAATAAAATTTAGAACATGTAAGTTTTTTATGGGGCTGTAGTTTTTATGTGGCTGTAGTTTTTATGGGGCTGTAGTTTTTTATGGGCTGTAGTTTTTATGGGGCTGTAGTTTTTATGGGGCTGTAGTTTTTATGGGGCTGTAGTTTTTATGGGGCTGTAGTTTTTTATGGAGCTGTAGTTTTTATGGGGCTGTAGTTTTTATGGGGCTATAGTTTTTTATGGGGCTGTAGTTTTTATGGGGCTGTAGTTTTTATGGGGCTGTAGTTTTTTATGGGGCTGTAGTTTTTATGGGGCTATAGTTTTTATGGGGCTGTAGTTTTTATTGGGCTGTAGTTTTTTATGGGGCTGTAGTTTTTATGGGGCTGTAGTTTTTATGGGGCTGTAGTTTTTATGGGGCTGTAGTTTTTATGGGGCTGTAGTTTTTATGGGGCTGTAGTTTTTATGGGGCTATAGTTTTTTATGGGGCTGTAGTTTTTATGGGGCTGTAGTTTTTATGGGGCTGTAGTTTTTATGGGGCTATAGTTTTTTATGGGGCTGTAGTTTTTATGGGGCTGTAGTTTTTTATGGGGCTGTAGTTTTTTATGGGGCTGTAGTTTTTATGGGGCTGTAGTTTTTTATGGGGCTGTAATTTTTATGGGGCTGTAGTTTTGCATTTGAAACTCTATTAGTGATTCGACAAAATATTTAATTTTAATTTTTATTGGTAAAAATATGTATAAAAAAAATAATAATTAAAAAAAAAATCAAAAACAAACAATTTTAGGTTTGAACAAAGTTATATTCTTTGGTCGTCAATGCAGAACATTCGATTCTACTCACAATATTTTTATTATTACATCTGATTTTACTCACAATTTTACTCACAGTAATAATCAACAAAATTAAACAGTAATTTATTTCATTTTATGTCAACATTTTTCAAAAATATATGTAAAAATATGAAAAGTAGCAGTTACAAAAGTAAAGCCTTAAAATATTGCCGAAAGCAAGGACTAACAAGCATAAATTAGACAATGAGTGGATCGATAGATGATCATGATAGGGACTTCAACCGTATTTAAGTTTTAATTAATGTTCTGTTTTTGATTTAAGTTTTTCATCAGTATAAATCTTTTTTACAGTTGATATATTTGCTGTAATTAAAGCTATAAAATAAATATGTCGTTGCTATGAGCGTTGAAGTCCTTAGCAACATAAGTCATGAAATTCAAAACCATTTTTAACAAATTTTTTTCACATTTTCTGTCTTTTTTGCTAAAAGAAACGTTTATTTTGTGTTCTATAATAAATTTTACATTTAGAAGTCACTTTTCCGAGATATTAAATAGTACCAAAACAATATTAAACTAGGAAGAAAATGAAAATTAAATAAATGTTTTTCTAAGATTCAATCCTCTTCAGGTTCCTCTGGACGAACCTGAAGAAGTCATGAAAACTAGAAAAAAAAAATTTACTTTCCTTAATAAATTGCAACGATTCACACCTCAGGCAATTTGAATTTTAAATTTTTTTTTGCTATGAAAATCGATCCACCCTAATATATAGGGTGGATCGATTTTCATAGCAAAAAATATATTCATATATTCATATATTCATAGAAGTTAAAAACAAATAATTTAAAGGATATATAACATTTATATATGTTAATACTAAGTGAGTTTGAAGGATTTCACTTAATAAAATTAAAATATAAAAGTATGTATTTTTTTTGAAATATTTTGATGAAAAATCAAAATATTTCAAAAATATTTTATTCCATAAAAAATTTGTTGATAAGAAATACAAGATCTACCAAAATTTGTATGTGAAATTGTTTCTTGTATAGAATCTTTAGTTTAAAGATGGAATTTGTTTTTTTCTTTATGTTTTTATAAGTTAAAAAAAGATACGGGGAGGTATACTTTTAAAAAAAAAGTTTAAAAAAATTCTCTTTAAAAATTCTTTTTAAAACAAAACTAAGTTTTAAAAGCAAAGTAAAAAGCTTTTAAAATAAAAAATAAAGTGTGGACTTTTCAAATACAGAAAAGTAAATCATAAAAAGTCAAACAAGAGATGCAGTTTATTGTTTATTGTTTAAACAAAAAGTTAAAACTCAGGCTGTTGTACGATACGGGTTCACATCGGACAATTCATAAAGAGAAATATGAAAAGTATTTCTTGAAAGCAAGTCATATAATGTGCCGGACCTACAAAGCATACCTCAGTGTGCCGGTTGGGGACCAAGACAAATCTCAGGCACCGCATTTGCGAATATTGCAAATAAACACTTTAAGGTAAACTGAACAGTTGCTTCATGCTTAGATGTGTTTTAATTTATTTTCATGAAATTTCAATTCTTTAAATCTAGTTCATTTCAAGGAGTTTTAATATACAAAGTTTTGTCATAAGTCGTATACTGTAGGCAAATATGTTCCATTTTGAAATCATTCCTTATTTTGAAATTTCCTGTTCTCAACTTATTATTATTCTTACCTATTATTATGAGCAAGTTGGTACAGAGGAGAGAAGCGAACCGTTGGGGAGAGCCAACAGACCACTCAAGCAACTGCTACTTCTGCATGGTAAACCCAAAAAATCATTTCACCTGCAAAAATTCCCTTCAGATCATTTATCCGCACATAACTTATTCAATCGTCTCAGTACCACATAGCCCCAATCTGCCTGCTCTGACTCTTCCTAGGTGGTATTTGCCATTTTCAGAAGACAGCAGCAAGTCAGATAGCGAGGCAGATAAAGACTATGATTCTGCAGATGAAGTTGGTGATAGAAAGCCCTACTTCTCATCAGAAAAGCGTGAACAATTTAATTAGGGACTTCAGGCTTACAAAATTGAATGCTGAGCTTCTGATATCCAGGCTCAAAGAGTGGAACTTGGTTGATGCAAGCATACAAGTCACAGATCAGAGGAAGCAACATCAAAGATTCTCCAATTTCTTCAGGCAGCATGATGGGCTGTGCTTCTGCAACAATGTTGCTGGTCAATTCCAGACTATAGGTATCGCATGTGATCCTATTAAATTGTGTTTATTCAAAGCCATGTTGCTTCACAATTGAAACAACTACATGTCTCTCCTGATGGCCCACTCTGTGCATCTCAAAGAGGACTAGACCAGTGTAAAAATAATGCTGAGTGTATTAAACTATGACAACTACGGATGGGAGGTCATTGGTGACTTCAAAATGGTATCATTCCTCATGGGTCTTGAAGGAGGTTTCACGAAATTTCCTTGATAAACTAAACTAGTGAGCAATATATATATATAAGACCGAAAAAAGTTTTTTTTTTAACTATTATTTGATTGACTGCCTGCCCTAACCAAACCCTCAGTCAATGAGGCGGCACTTCCTTGTAGCAGCACGCAATAAGATGGTCGATGTAACAACACTCTGTGTATGTTTTGCAGTAAAAAACATTCAGAATGTTTTTTTAAAAAACAAAATAAAAATATTCAGAATATTTTTAAAAACATTCCAGTCTTTTAGTTTGTGTTTTTTTAGTTTTCTCAAAAAACATTAAATTTAATTAAGTTTCCTTAATTAAATTAATGTATTTTGTTGTAATCTAACCTTAATTTTGTCAGTTTAAATACAAAAGACAGGCTAACAACAGTTTTTTACCACAAACTGCATGTTTAAGGCCTTTACTGTAGGTGTGTATATATATATATATATATATATATATATATATATATATATAGTGGCCTTCAAAATTAAGAATCTTTTTTTTAATGGAAAATATGGTGTTTTTTTGTGACAAACGCCTACATTCGACACTATTTTCACTAAATTTCACTAACAGGGGGGGGGGGGGAGTATCATCGCCCAAATTTTTTTCTAGCTAGAAAAACAAAAACAAAATCTAAATCAAATTTAAATAAAACACACACACACACACACACACATACATATATATATATATATATATATATATATATATATATATATATATATATATATATATATATATATATATATACATATGTATATACATATATATATATACATATTTATATTTACATATTTATATATACATATTTATATATATATATATACATATATATATATATATATATATATATATATATATATATATATATATATATATATATATGTCAATGATTTGATTGCTTGATTGTTTGGGGGGCAAACAGATGACCAGAGGTCATCTAACCCCCTCCCTACCCCGGGGGTGGGGGGGTGGGGGTTAGATGACCTCTGCTGTGACCTCGGGGGTCGCTGGAGGTCAGAATGGTCTGGGGGATGAGTTGAGCGTTTCCTATGATGTGATTTTCTCCGGTTTCTGTTGTGTTCCATAGATTGCTGTTGCCTTTTTATCCAGAGTTTTCTGGAATGTTCCACGTTTTTCCAGAAAAGACCAGAATTTTCTGGTGTGGTCCGAAGTTATCCAGACTGTTCCATACTGCACAATGTGGCTGTTCCATCACCTAATGGAGCATTGAGGGGCTTTCCAGAGTGTTCTGCAGTGTTTTTCCATGGGGATGTAGGTGGATCACCGGAGATCGCACATAGCTCAGTTTTTACTGGGTTGCAGTTCTGAGATTCAGTTTGGGGGGTCGGTTTGCTCTTTGCATGTTGCTGCAGGGAACGGGTGGCGAAATATTGTTTTTTGGTGATAACTAATTCATTTTTAATTTGTTTATTTTGTGGTGGTCAACTTGGTACAGGGGCATTGTTCTTTTCAAATGAGTATTGTGTATGAATATATATAAAATTATGTGTGTATGGTGTATATAAAATCCCTGGATGGAAGAACTTTTAGTGTTGTGTACCAAGAGGCTCTGCAGCGGTTTTTTTATAGTACCCAGGATTGATTGATTTTTTAGTCAAGTAATTGATTTTTGGAGAGTGGGGTTTTCTTTATACACCAGCAACTTTGATTTGTTTTGCTGGTACCCAGCGACACAGGCACCTCTGCTAGTATATAAATATATATATATATATATGTATATATATATATATATATATATATATATATATATATATATATATATATATATATATATATATACATATATATATATATATATATATATATGTATATATATATATATATACACACACACACTGTGAATTTAGATTTGATTTAGATTTTACGTTTTTTGTTGTTGTTGTTGTTGTTTTTCCAACTTAAGTTTACTCAACTCACAGACAAAAAAAGAAAAGAACAATGAAAAAATTTGCTGAAATTGCAAATCTTGCTGATTTCTTTATTTTGATATGATGTCATTTTGTGTTATCATAAATTTGCAGGCACATATTTGTATAATATACTTCTAGAATAGTAATGGCAGTATTACCTTTATTCGAAATACCATTGTTCCTGGAAAATCCACACTGTATGATATGGGAATTGATCCTACTAGGTTAAATTAAATTTTTTGTATTATTTTATTTTAATTACTTATTTAATTTACTTTTTTTGTAGTTTCTATTAATTTTTTAAACATGAATGTGTTTTTAAAGGAATGTTATTTAGAAAGCTAAAATATTTTTTTATTTTATTTTTACTAGCAAATGTTTTTTTTTTATTATTAAAAACAGGAAGTTAGCTGCAACTGTTGGACAAGACAGAAATATGAGGTAAGTTTGTAATTTTGTACAAATGTAAAAAAAATGTAATAAAGTCAATGTAAAATTAACTTTTCCACATTTCAATCAAATTTTTCACATTTCACATTTTACAACAAGCATTGAACACCAAATGCTAAACTTATAGTTTTGTTAAATGACATTAAACTCAGTGTCTTGTTAAATTTTTTTTCCTTTTTTTTTCTTTGTAATTTACCTCCCCAAGCCTGAGAAGGCCACTACAGACGAGGAGGCTACTTATGGTTAACCCTCTCTCGACTGTAACTTCAAAACATGAATCTTGACAAACAAGGCCGCTGCAAAACAGAGTGCCGTACTACCAGGGAGGTGGTAAGAATCGAAGTCAGAACCTACTATTATTTATTTATATTTTTTGTTAGAATATATGATATTCAAGGAGCTAAGCAAATACAGTGTTTTAAGGGTTCACAAAATGAAGGAAATCTTATCAAGGTAACAAGTTGATATATTTTTTATAAATGTAATTGTTGGAATTTTAGTTTATTTGAAAATCTTTTGATTGTATCATTTTTAAATAACTTTACACTGGTTAATAAATTATTTAGCTTCAATTAGATCCTTCTGGTGTCTATGCTGCTATTAGCTGCTCTGACAAAACAATATCCATTTATGATTTTTCCCGCGGGGAGTGTGAATCTGTTATACTTGGTCATTCAGGTATGCTCTCCTTCTGAGTGTATGGCTTTGTTTACATTCTATCGGTGTACCATGTATATATAAGTTATTGATTAGTTTTAATAACATGCTGTAAATATGCACCATGTGTTTATAAGGGTGTATGTGGGTTTTAAAAGAGTTTATAGTAATGGTGTATACTTATAAGGGTATTTTGTTTTATTTGGTTTAAGTTATAAGGGTGTATGAACTTTTTGAAATACTTTATAGATATTTTTATTCTTACAATTATTTCAATGTTATTTGTTCACTTTTTCTAATTTTTTTTTTTGCTGTAGAACTGGTGACTGGCCTTCAGTTTACTAGTGATGGTAAACGGTTGATATCTGTGGCTGGTGATGGGTAAGTTTTTTTTGAAAAACCATGTTTTATTTTTATTTTTTAAAAAACTGTGTTTTATTTTTATGTTTTGAAAAACCATATTTTGTTTTTACACTATGATTTTGTTTATCTTATTTATTATTAACACTATTTTTATTTTTGATTATACTATTAATATTATTATAGTGATAAATAAGTGAGGAGCCCATCTGCAAAACACACTAAGTCACAAAAATAAAAATTTTGAGTTTTGCAAATGGGCTCCTTAAAGTGTTCAATTATTATGTTAAATCCTAACTATATGGTAATATTATTTTATTATTTTAATTATAATTAATAATTAATATTTATTATTAATTTAATAATTATTATTATATTAATACTAATATATCTTTATTGCTTTAGTAAAACATTCAGGGTTTCTCTCTCTCTCTCTCCACTAAATTAGGAGATTATGGAATACAATAACTTTATAAAAACCAAATGTACTTTCTCCCAGCTTTCAGAGCAGGTTTATTTAAGTAAAATTTATATTAGCAATTTTTTGGGGCAAATTAAACTTTATGTTCTTATGAATTTGAAAGCATTTTTGACTACTTTAAAACAAATATTATACTTGGAAATTATGTAATACTTTGTGCTTACATACCATTAAATTCCTCCAATGTTTTGTATATTTAAAATCTCTTTGATTAAAGATTATTAAGTAAATTTTAAACAATGGCTGCTAAATTCAAAAACATCTTTATAATAAGTTATAGATTTGTTTACCATTAGTAAATAAAATTTTTTTCATATATTATGTATATTATGTTTTCATAATTTGCATATTATGTTTACATAATATTTTAAAATGTTTAGTTGTATTTTCATTTGGAAACTTCCTACCGTGTTTACAGAGGTATTTTATTTATTATTCATTCATATATCTATTGTATTCATTAATTATTTGTTTTTTTTTCATTTTAAACAACGGAAAATATAAGGTGTTTTTTTTTTTTTTTTTTTTTTGCAGAACATTTTGAATAGATTAGAAGAGCTTGAGATTCCATTTATTCCTCGTGAATGTGATGAAGTGTAAGATTATTTTTGAAGTTGATTATTTTGAAATTTTTAAAAAGTTTAACCTTAAGAGAATATTTTTGAAGAAGTCATTTTTTTAGAGATACTCACCGAAAGACATTTATTATTTCATCTCCAACTTTACCAGATGACGAATCTAAATTTAAAAGTAATTTTTTTAAGCAGTTACTGAATCTTTTTAAAAAATTTGTATCTAAGTGGTAATTGTTGTATATACCAGGCCTTGTTTTAAATAAAAAATGATTAACGCAATAGTCTAGTGTGAATTTGAAGTCATAACATTTTATTTATTTTTTTATTTTCTAAAGACATTAACTTTTTTAAATTACTGCAATAATATTAATTATTAAATGTTATTTAACTTCTTTTTATTATTACTTTTAAGCCAATGTTTATTTATTTTTTTTTATTTATTTTTTTTTTTTAATATTAAATAATTAATTTATATTACATTGATATTAACAAATTTCTTTCTTTTCTTAACATTTTGATAAATGAAATAAAATATGTTAATTTTTTGAATTTTTAAATGATTATTTCTTAAATTTCTTACTGCGGCTTTGCAACTACAAATGATTTTTAATTTAAAAAAAAATAGCGAGTAACAAATAAAAAAACTACATTAATTTATTTACTTTATTTTTTTAAAAGTTTCATCCTTTTTTACAAAATTTCGTTGTGAAAGCAAAGATTATTTTTCCAAACATCATTGATTAGAATTATATTGCTGTATATATTGTTTATTGAAAATAATTGCTGCAATTTAACTTTGCGTTATAAAAAATAAAATTTCTTTGCAAATTGTTGATGCAGCTGTTTATTTAAAATTTAGTTTTGAATAAAAAAAAAATTGAAAAAACTATTGCAATAAAAATGAGCTTATTTTTTTTTTAAGAACAAATATTAAATTTAGTAATATTTTTAAATAAATTTGATACTTAAGTTAAACCCGAGCATTAATTTTAATAAACGTAAATATAAATTTAATATATCAAAATTAAGTTTTGTTTTTTAAATCTAAATCAAATTAATTTTTTTTTTATCAAAATAAAATTATATAATTTTATTAAATTAGTTTTTAATTAAATCATATATTTTTTATCATAATTAAATTATATTATCCTTGCCTCAACCTAAAAGTAAAAGCATTTTTCAAGCAAAAAAATCAATCATCACAATGAAATTAAAACAAATAAAAAAAAATTTAATTTTGAGTTTTTTTCATTAGTAAATAGTGCTTATGTCTAACATAATTGTCATTCAAACTTTTATAACTAATATTTTTACATAAACGTCATTCAAAAGTTAATGTGATTTTTTTTTTAATTAATTACTTCTTTCATCATAATGCTTATAAAATAATTTAAAAGTTAAAAAATGATAAAAAGTTGCTTAACCAAAATCGTTTACTATTTACGTAAATACTTAAGATGTACCTAAATGGCTCTTTGCGTAATGCTTTAAATCAAGGCCTGATATATTTATTTTGTACATATATATATATATATATATATATATATATATATATATATATATATATATATATATATATATATATATATATATATATATATACACACACACTTTATTGTTTTAATGTGAAATTTAAACTCAATGATTTTAATGGAAAGGCTGACATTTGAATTTCTTTGTTAAATTCTTTCAAATTTTTACTTTGAAAGTTACAAATGTGTTGTAAGTTGTTATTTTCCCGGTTAAAAGTAACATAACAGTTTTTTATGTAACTAACATTTATGTATTGTATTGTCATTTTCAGCACCTCCAAAAGACCTCTCAAGTCATTATCGCTTTAGTATTGGTCAACTACCTGTATGGGCAAGAAAACAGGTAGGTTTAAAGTAATACTTTTTGGTTCTGATTTTTAGGAGCATGTCAATAGATCTGAAGAAAATCCTATTGCATCATACACCTTACACCTTACACCTTACACGTTTTAGCACTTTACATGCTTTTTTTTTTATTGTATATTTATAGAATTATGACTATAATATAAACATATCATACATAAGAGTAAAGGCTAGATCAGTTATATATTAAAGCTTCTTTTTTTCAACAAGGCTGCTGGCAAGCATAATTTATGTTGAGAAAAACTTGGAACTAGGGAAGACTTCTAAAGAGTAAAACACTTTACAAAAGACTTGAAAAACTTCAAATCATACAATTCATGAAAAAAAAAATGGGAGAGAATTACAAAGTAAGAAAAAAAATGAGAAAATATTTTTTATAAACTTTAACAAATAGTGAGAGTATATATAGTACTTTGGTAAATGATGATTCACACGATTGTGTCATTTTTTGTAATGTGAAAATTACAAAAATTAATCACAGAGTATCAGCTTAGCAGCTGGCGCAGATAAAACTACATTTACAATGTGTATTTGGGTCTTGTTTTAAATTTATATATAATAAGGGCAACCATACCAAATGCTAACTTTGTAAAGTATTGAATATTGGAGCAAATGTAAGTTAGTTTGTATGGAGAAAAAAAATCAGAATGTTGACTATGTGATTAAAAGATTAAAAAGAACAATATTTTGAGCCTTAGTCTTAATAAATTTGTTGGTACTAGAGGCAACCCTATCAGTATGATGATCATTTAAATCACTAGATATTCAGTATGATGATTACTTGAGTCACTAGACAACATTATAAAAAATGCAGTCTTGGTAAGAAAGAGTACAGAGCAAATGTCATGTGACTGAGTAAAGTATTGTTGTATCTTAACACATACAAGAATAGAGTATTTAAACAAATAGGTAAACCAATGCTTAAGTAAATGCCCAAGTTAAGCATGCAACTATCATGTGACTGCAAATCAGAGTATAATAACCATCAACATTTGTCAATGATGTTTTGGCTACTATCCTCTGATTTGCAGTCCCATGAATTTTTTCAAGTATGTCTGGAAAAGATTCAACTGATGGAAATTACTTGGATGACGTTAAGATTACTTTTAAGAGACAATTGATTGATACAATTTAGTGGGGGTAATGTTTTTTTATACTGAATTGTTTTTGGTACATAATTTAGATGATAGAGAATTCGATTCTAACTTAGATAGTACATGACACCCTAAGCAATAAGTTATGCAGTTGCCTCTTGTTAATATACCCAAATTGTAAAAGGCATTCCTCATAAAGCCTTGATAATGTACATCAAAAGTACTAAGAGGGACAGTTATTGCCCAATACTACACTGTTATTAATATTCCTATATTTAACAGCTGACAATGAAATCTTTCTGAAAGCTACCTGAATTGATAGTAAAAACTTTTGATTCAATATAACAATTATTTTACTTAATAATTCAAAAAGAACATTATATAAAAAAGTGATTATGTAAAAAACATTGCCACTTTACATTATGTACCTATTACCACCAACTTTTTTTTAGATTTATATTAGCTAGTATTCTAACTAATTTATTTATTGACATAAAAAATTGATTGTTTGTTTTTTTTTCACTTGAAAATTTTCAAACTTTATGAACTGTTTTTCTACCCCTTATAATTCTTCAATTATTTATAATTATTCATGTTGTAGTGGTGTAATGGTAAAGCGCTTGCTTTGTACAAAGTTTAAACTCAGCAAGTACAATGATTAATAATTTTTTTGAGGCAACAGCCTTGTTTATCAAAGTTTGGGTTTGAGAGTTGAAAAATTGAGATAAAAGATATGTAGCTTTCTCAAATATAACAACCCACATAGGTCTTGAGGAGTTAAGCATATCAAAAAAAAAAAATCAAAATAAAACTTTAACTTTTAACAAATTGAATTAAATTAAAGATCATACATTATTAAATAAGTTAAAAATTAATTCAAAAGTTCAATTAAATTTTTTTTTTTATTGTTATTGAATTAACCAAGAGTCTCAAAGAGATAATTTATGGATTAATCAACTTTATTTTTAGCAGTCTAGCATTTTTTGTAGAATACTTGTGGTCTAAATAAAAAAATATTTATAAAAAGTTTTTTATTTTTTGTAGATAGGAGTAGAAAACAATTTGACAAATGCAAAAGGGTCTAATGCACCTTTGGGTCGATGGGGAGAGGTTGGTTTTTGTACTGTTTTATTTTATACCACTATTAAACTTTCCAAAATGATATCTTTTATTTGCTTATATAAAGAGAACAGAGGAACCATTAAATACAGTCCTTGAAATTGAAAACAAAACAGGTAAGGTGTTTATTTATTAGTCAAGGGGACTATGTGGGACTCTTTAATACTTTTTAATTTTTATTTAGACATTTAGATGTCTTTATGCATAATTTTTTTACTTATTTTTATACACATTTTTAATTTTATGTTTGTGATTCTTTTCTTTTTTTTTTACTAACTTTTTTATATTAATTTTCTTTAGTAACTTATTCCACTAGTTTATTGGAGTTTAATGAAACAGCAGTAAGCTTTATTCATTTTTTATCTTTTTTTTTAACCTAAGGTTATGTATTTATTTGAATTTCTTTGTTGCACAGGGCAATGAGAGTAAAGTGTTGAAGCTTAGTGATGATAGTTTGAATGGCGACAATGAAAGGTTTATTTAATTTATTTTAATTGTTGTTATAAGTATTATATTATTATTGTTATTACAAGCTGTCCAGACCCATAAAATATGGGTCTTGGTGAATCAATTCCACACCAACCTTTTCTATACCTATTCCTTACTTTTTTTTATATTTATTCCTTACTGTTTTTATTAAGTGGCAGAAAAATAACTATATACATATAGAAAAACTATATATTATTATTCACTTTTTAAAGCTATGAAAAAAAATTTTTAAGTCTATTTCACTCCACCCAATAATTTCGCTTTATTTCAATAAATTTTTAAAAGAGCTAAATATAAAAATCTTTGTTTTGAGTTAACAATTTATGTTCAATCCTTTTATAACTTCTATAAAAAACAGAAGAAGAAAAAAACAAGGAGTGACCATATTATTTTTTCCTTTAATAAGTTTCTATTAACTTTTTTCAGACCATCCGCCAGGGATTATCTTTTTCCTGATATATTTCCGGAATTCCGGATATTTTTTTGAACTTTTAGTTTTTCCACATATCCAAAACATTTTCAATGCATGCAAGTTGAGGTATATATTTTTGTAATATATTTGTTTTTTAAGCTTTTTCACTCATCACTCAGAAAAATTATGAAAAGTATCAAAAAAAATTAAAAACAACTTAGCTAAAAGCAAAATTTCAAAGAAAATAAGGGAAAATGAATTCCGGATTTTTTCCAGATATTTTATTCAAACAATTTTCCAGATTTTTAAAATTTGACCAGGATGACCTATGATCCGCAGCTTTTTAGGACTCTTGTCCCATTATTTTTGAAGAAAGTTAAAGTTTGCATGTAAATTCTTTTTCTATAATAAAATTGTCTCTTTTATGCGCGTTAAATGCACAGACTTAACGAATTACTTAAGCATATTAATAACGTAAGTATCTCTATCATGAAATCTGCAAAGAATTTCCAAAGGTGTATTCATTTTTATAGAAATTTTAAAAAGTTTTATTAAAAATTCTTTCCTTTTTGTTTGTTATAGTATGTAATATATTTATATATGTTATGCATATCATATCCATATATGGATATGCATATCATATCCATATAGGGATATGCATATCATATTCATATAGGGATATGCATATCATATCCATATAGGGATATGATATGCATATCCATATTTTGAATGTATAATTTTATCCAAATTTTTTAATTGATAAATAAATATCCATATTTTTTATGGATAAATTTATCCATATTTTCTAATGCATCTAGAATACAAAGTAAAACATTATTAAAGGCCTATAGGCCTTTGTATTCCAGAAAATTAGTACAGTGTATAAACGAATTTAAATCCACACGAAACACTTCAATCACTTTGACATGCTTTATCATCTTTTAAAACTATTTAATAAACAAAAGACTTATTAGGCTTTATAAAACAGCATATAAATGCTATAAATCAAAATTAAGAAGATTTTGCTGAAATAAAATTTTTTAGTAAAAGTAAATCTGTAAAATTTGATATAATTTACATATAACTTGAAGTTTACATGTTAAATATTTGCATTGACTTCGTTCAAATAGATAACAATAATAATAATAAATACAGCAATACAACAAAAATAAATAAATACAAATCATTACGGATTGTGGTTTTAAAAAATGCCTAATAGCTTTGTAAAACAGAAAATATTTTTATTTACACATTAACAAATTAACAAATTAACAAATAACAATTTTCAATAGTTTTCAATTGTATGACATTGAACAAACAGATCATCTGATTAATCTAAAAAAAATTAGTTGAAATTAAAAAAGGAAAAAATACACCACATGTGTTAACTGGAAGTCAATTTATTTATACATTATAACAAAACAAAATATTTAAAGAAAAGTTTTATTTACACAAAAAAATTTAACTACACCTGTATCAATTAACAATTGGTAGATTAACCAACTTCAAAAATACTAATTAGTGTTAACTTTAGGATCTATAAAATTAACATCTTGTCAAAATACAATTTCAATATATCACCTTTGAAGCAGAATAAGTTACATTAAATAAAACATTAAAAAGTTAAACTAACTGTAACTTTAAAAACAGATTAAAAAATTAAAAAATATACATATTGTATCATTTATGATAATGATAATAGAAGAATTAAAGATATTTCAGAAATTTATATAAGTTAAATAGGAAATACCAAAAACTTACAGCGTGCATATCTGCAATGCCTCATGCATTATCAGTTAAAAGTGTCCAAGTTGACTCTTCTAATATTATACGAAGTTTAATATTATTTTTATGGTTGTTTAAATTCTGTCATTAGTTTTAAAATGTTTAACGGGGACATGGTAAAATAGTTGTAAAACTTTAAATCTCCTTATCTTAATATTATATATTTTTACTTTTTTTATTATTTTTAAAAGGGTAAAGGTCGCCGGGTGGCAAGTTCAAATAATTAGCTTGCTTTTTTTTTTAATTTTTCTAATTCAAAATGAAAAACAAAACAACTTTTTTTCTTTCAAAACAAACTTCTTTCTTTAAAAGCATTTTCTAAAGCATTTATTTTAGAAAAATCGAAAAAGATTAAATTTAAAAAAAAAAGGTGATAGGAATCGAACCTGGACTTCCTGCCTTTGAGCTTTGCGTGCTATTGACTACCTAAAATTTTAAAACTATATAACATATTTAAGACTTTATCAAGCGGAAATAAACTCTACAGATCAAATCTTAAGGAATTGTTGCCGCAGTGCAATTTTTAAGTGAAAGTAAAACTAAAAAATATGGTATATGTTTAAGTATGTTTTTAACATTACATAGTTTGAAGTTTGCATAAGTTTGACTTTTCTTATAAAAAAAAGTGCTGCTACTCTTTCTTGCTATTACCTCAGTTGCAATGGCTGCCAAGAGTATCGAGTCAAACACTCTCAACTGAGCATTAATAAGTTCCTTGTTAATATATGATATGATTATTGTTGTTAATCATTATCATTTTTATAAGTTCTATGTTATAAATATATATTTTATAGGTATATATTTTATAAAATGACCAAATTATTTTAGTGAGAAAATTGAATATGATTACAGACTACAGAAAGAAAGTAGACTGCTAAAAATGTATTAATTAAGTCATTTATTGCAAATATACATTTAAATTTATATTCAAAAATATATTAGATTATTTAAAATGGTTATAAAAAATTAATGCTGCTAAATTTAATTATAAATCGTTTTAATACTTTGTAAGTAATTTATATAGTGATTTTATATAATATTTATATATAGTAGTTATATATATTATATATAAATTTAATCATAAGTATTTAAATTGTTTAAATACTTTGTAAGTAATTTATATAGTGATTTTTATATGTAATTAAAAATATTGAATCTTAGGAGATTTGAAGTGACAAGAAATCAACGATCTTCAAGCTGGAAAGAGGTATTCAGTTGGTTTTTTTTGGGGGGTTCTTTCCTTTTTTTTTTTTTTTCTCTTTTCTTTTTTTAATATCTTTTTTATATATTTTTTTTAGGGTACTGATGTTACTGATCGTAAGTTTTGCGATTTTCTGTTTTTTATAAAATATATATTTTCTAAATTTTGCATAATAGTGACCTTACCATTTTTTACTTTAGATAAATTGGACAGTGAAAGTGAAAGTGCTGAATCCGTTAATGACCATGTCAATAGTGAAGCAGCTGAAGATAGTTTTTTAGAGAGTGATTACGAAGATGATGCATTTTCTCCACTCTCTGAACATTTTGAAAAGCTAGGTACACCAATTGTTACAAAGATGCTAAATAAACCAAACTATCCTAAAAATGCTGTGACACTCTTTAACCGTGCTAGTATATCCGCAAAGTTTTTGTCTCGTTCTCAGAAAGCGTCAAGGTTTGAAATCCAAAGTTTAATTAAAACATTAAAGAATATATTTAAAATAGAATGTTTTTATATATTTATATAGAAAATTTTCATTTAAATATTTTCTAAAAATTTAAAATCTTGATTATATGAAACTGTTTTGAATTCTCTTATTGGTTTATTTGGTTTATTCATAGGACTCAAACCGCATCTATTAATGATCAAAGAAAGCGACTAGAAATTGTAAGTAATAAAACCTGTTTATTAAAGAAAAAATGCAAACAGCAAATCTTTAGTCCAAATATAAATCCAAATATAAATATAATACCTACTAATAAAAATTTGCTTTAGGCTTTTTAAATTTATTTAGTTTCTTTGATAGTCTAAATGTTTAAGTTACTAATCTCTTCTCCATGCTAACTTCAATATTTTTAGCTGAAAGCTCGATTTAATAATAAAATTAACACTAACATTTCAACAAACATAAAGTCATCAATGGAGAACATTTTTTCCAAGGTAACATTAATGAAATTACAAGTTGTATATAATAAAAGTAATACTAACATTTCAACAAACTTTAAGTCAACAATGGAGAACATTTTCTCCAAGGTAACAAGATGTTTGTTACAACTTGATAGCACCAATTATGCTGATTGTTTTCAAACATGAACATGCGTGGTTTTTTTTTGTTTGTTTTTTTATTTACAAACATTTTATTATCATTATTTCTCAAAATAAAATAACATTTTTTATTAATTTATTTTATTAATTTATAGAAGTTTGTGTTTGTTTTTAATAAAGTTTGTAAATCTTTAATAAGGATACCACGAGTCGTTCAAATATACAGGAGTCGAAGCATTTTAAAAGTTGTCAAAACATCTCTCAAAGTAACTCTGAAAAAACATTTCACAGACTTTTATCTTCGCCTAGTTTTAACGAAGATGTGTCCAAAACGAGTCTTCAAAGTAGCACACCATGGCGTTTGCTTGATTCCAAGGATCATAGCTCAAAAGAACTTAATTTAAAGCAAAATGTTTGGAGTAGATCATCCTTTGGGAAATCGTCAGTAAAATCTCCAGGGTTTGACGATACTTTATCTGTTGACGGAAATTATGAAAAGACAGTTGTGTTACGTAAGAAAGGAGATAACCGAAGACAAAATCGACCAAGATCGATGTTTGTAGAGTCTATGAACCAAAAAGTGTCTAATAAAACACTACTGCATTGTTTATCTGATACTGAAACAAATGACAATGAGGTTGTTCAAGAAAATATATTCCCAAATAATGTAAATTTTCAATCAGTGAACTTAAATCAATCTCAAAATCGCGACTTAGAAACCTCATTTTGCGAAAAAAAGAGTTTTCAAAAGCAGCACTCAGAAACTCATGAATCATTAGAAACAGTTTATTGGAAACATAATCAATTTCTAAACTCTGCATGTGAAACTAATGGTACATCTGAAGACTTGTACAGCGATTTTTCTAAAGACCAAAACCTGGGTCGTATTGCAGTGGAAATAAACGACAATATTTGTAAACTTAACATGAAATCAAATTACGATGACTACACTAAAAATTGTGATGTCGATTTGGTTTTAAAAAGCCCTACTGTGCGTTCAGAGACCATAAGATCAGATTCTCCGCCTCAAAGAGACACTTTTTTAGTGAGTTTTTTATTTTATTTTAAACTAATAATACTTTTAAATTTTCTTCTTAAGTTCTCAAAAACTTTATTTTTATTACATTTTTATATTGGCTACATTTTTCTTCTATTTATTAGACTGATACATCACTTTTAAAGAATACCAGTGATAACCAAGAATCAGGTGAGTGGTCACTTTTACCCTTTTAAAAACAAAAGTAATTTAATTTATGATTTTCTTAAAATTATATTTTAATTTACGTTTACCTTTCTTTAGTATCGTTAGTAAGCTGCCAAAATATATTACATACTTTTGTAAAATCGTACAATGATGTTCGCCGATTGCAATGCAAGGTGATTTATACTTTTGTTTTAAATAGCTATTGCTGAGCTGTGTATAGTTTAGCATTTTTTTTACCTTTAACTAATTTTAATAGTTTTATTAATTCACATTCATTCAAAATCATGATTAAAATTATCGTTTGATACTAAAATTAGTGTTTGAGATAGAGGCTCGAATTAGTGTTTGAAACTTGTGTGGCTGAAATTTGTGTTAAAAATGGTGAATTAAATTTAAAGTTTTTTAATAATTTATTACAAGTGAATTTTCAACATAGTTATCTTACAACGAAAAAGGTATTTTTAATAGGGAAAGTCTTTTGTACTATGACAACTTATGATTATAGATTTTGTTCTTTAAATTGAGAATAAATTAGATATACCTAAATACTCCTTACTAATACATAAATTTGTGAAAATTATAAAATTTATCATATGTAAAAAAAAGAATAATACGGCGTATTATTTTAGCGCACTTAAACCATCGAAAAATAACTTTTTAAATAAGTAAAATCGTTAATGTTCGGTCACCATATAACTTCTGTCATTTAAGAAAAAATACTAAAAAAGCATACTAAATTCAAGTTTTACAAAATTTTTTTTCTCAAATAATATTTGTAATTAGTTCGTAAATATGAATCTATAAAAAAAAAATTAAAATGTTTATATGCAACCTGCTGAAATAATTATTTAGCAAAACAACAGTTTGAAAAAATGCATACTATTAAAATCTAAAATAAGCAGATTATGAAAATAAATAAGCAAATTTAATCTTAGTATTATTAACAATCACCAAATTAATTATATTTACAAAAAAAAATTAATTTTTGAAAATTAACTACTTTTATAAAAATTAGTGAAATTTTGAAATACTCTAACTTCGGTCATTACTGATAAACAACGAAGGAGACAATTAGCAGTAATATTGTGAAATGTTGATAAGCTTTGCGAATGTAAAACTTACCGGTAACTTTACCTGTAAATTTACCAGTAAATTTTGACATTTTTAAAATGGATACACACTATGGTATTTTATGTGAATAAAAAAATTGGTTCATAATTTTAAAATTAACTGACGGTTCTTTGAGTTCTAAAAAATGTCAAGCTTGTGGCATTTTTTTTTTGAGATAAAATTACAGCTCAACAACAATTATAGATGCGTTGCGAATCCTGTGGCGATTGGTTGTGTGGATCTTGCTCGTTGATTATGGTCAACAATATGTGCAAGAATTGCCAATAAACATACAAAGCTCATTTAAGCAAAGTAGTGTTTTTTTGTTAATCGAAAAAACCTTTTTAAATTAATTGAAAAGTATATTTAATACTTTATTAACCAGTGACGTAGCAAATGTAATAATGGCCAAAGTAATAGATAGTTGACTAATTACAATAAAAATTAAAAATACTACTACTTGTATTTAAAAAATTTCTTTTTTTATGTGCTCCTTCTTGTTTTCTTTGGTATTCTAAAAGACTTTTTTTTCGAGCCTCGAGCAACGCCCTTCTTAGTGGGCGTCGCTTAGGGCTCAAAAAAAAAGGTATTATCTGAATTTAAATCATAATTCTGGTATTTAAAATCATAATACTGGTATTATCTAAATTTAAATTTTAATTTTAAAATAAAACAACATTTAAAAGTTTAATTATTTAGGTATTTTGCGTAAAGTAAATTGGCGTGAATGCTCTTTTACTTAACGCATTCAAATGCTGTAGCTTTTATTGCGATAATAATAATAATATACAATACTGTTGAGATTTAACAATACTACTTACAATACTAATTACAATAAAAAAACTACAATACAATAATACAATACTACTTATAAATACAATACTGCAATAAATACAATACTACTTACAATACTAATTACTTACAATATAGTTACAATAAAATTAAAAATACTACTACTTGTATTTAAAAAGACTTTTTTTATGTGCTCCTTCTTGTTTTCTTTGGTGCCTCAAAAGACTTTTTTTTCGAGTCCGGGGCGACACCCTCTATAGTTACTGGTATTACCTGAATTTATATCATAAATTTACAAAAAAACAACATTTAAAAATTAGTTTTCTTTATTTTTGACGTTAAGTTTGTGATACGTTATTAGTATTTATATAGTGGCCGAACTTATAAGATGGTATTGAAAGTTTGGTCAAAGAAGATGTTTTCATTTTAAACAAAATATTGAGTACTAGTTTATATTTTTCATTTTTTTATTTTTACAATATCTATTATCAATATAATTATCTGTATGTTTCAGGGGAAAAAAATAAAAATTTTTTAATTATGCGTGATAAATAAATGTTCAAAGCTCAAGTGACCGAACTTAGACGATTTTACGGTATACCTTTTAGGGATCGTTCATAAATTACGAAACAAAGAAGAACAAAAACTTTCCCTCGCAGAGTCTTTAATTAAACCAAAAAGTAAAATAGCCTTCAAGTTTATTGAAACACGCCGCGCAAAAGAGCAAATGATCTCTTGTTTTTATTTCTTAATTGAGTTTAGCGTTGCGTAATTTATGAACGATCCCTTACAGATTTTACAGCAGTTGTGGTGTAGTGGTTAGAGTTCGGACTTCAGAACCAGAGGTCCATGATTTGAAACCTTCTCTGGCCATATATGCAACATTAGTAAGGAAAGAGGTGTGAACTTCCTAGTTAAATAATATTTTACGGTGTTCTGTGACCTAAGGACTTCTAAGAGCACCTAAATAACTAAAAAATAAGAAATGGTTAGGTGTTTAGCTTTTTACGCCGTCAAAAAAGAAAATCGTTAAGTTCGTTTAATTTTTTTTATTTTTTGAACAATACTTTTTGTGCAGCAATTTTTATTTTTGAGAGAAATCTGTAGTTTCAAAGAACTGTTTTCAAAGAAAAAAATTTCAAAGAACTGTTTTTCAAGAGCAACAAAATGTTTGAGCTGAAATTTTTTATGTCATTAATGTACGTGTGCGGTAGTTTCAGTTTTGTTTAATTTTAGCGTGTGACAATTTCGTGTTTTGCTGAAATACTAATGTTAAAAGAACGAAAGAAATTTTCGATTCTTAGCAGATGTAATTAATAATTATAATAATTATCACGTTGGTTTAACTTTTAAAGAATCACGTTTATTCATAAACGCAGATGGGACGTTAGTACTAGTATCTTTTGGGCCTAATTTTGCTATAAAGTTTCTGTAGGATTATAATTTGACGTATAAAATATTGTCTTTGTTGTTTGTTCTTATTACAGGTTATCGAGCAACCTAGTTCCCCAATTCATTCTCAAATTATTTTGCTTATTTCAAAAACATACTTGGCTCTCGGGAATAGCATGAGTGAACAAAGAGAAAAGTTAATCGAACATCTTGATTTGATCGATCATCAACAAGACTTGATTAAATCAAATTTGTTTCAAGAACTTGAAAGCGAGCTATTGTCGAATAAAGAATCTTCTACTGTACTTTATCTTCTTGAAAAATATTCAAATTTATTATTAGATCTGACGACAACAAAAATAAAAGAAAAATCGGGAGTTTGAACGATATTTGAATCTTGATATTTGAAAGAGATCATCGCCTGTATTTGGAACTATCTTCGAAAACTGTCTGCATATCGTGCTAAACAACATAAATTTGAAAAGTGTTTTGAATTTTGCAAGCTTTGCAAGTTCCAATAGCCTTTTGTTTTGTTTTAAAATACAAATTGATAATACCATATGACGTAATCAAAAATGACTTTTCAAAAAAAGAATCATTATAGGAAATTGAAATTTTGAATTTTCATAAAAATTTTATATAAATGTTTATTTAAAAATTTTTAAACTTCTGTTTATATGAAGTAGTTTTTGTACAAAAAAATATTTTTAGAAAGATAGAAAATATTATTTTTAGCAATTAATCTTTAATCAAGTAAATATGATAAATAGCTATAAGCTATTATTATATATTATTAATGCGTGTTCTACAAGTATTTTGCGATATGATGAAAAGCATACTTTTTATTAGGATTTTAATTCAGTTTCTTTGATTGTCTTTAATTCAGTTTCTTAAGCACAACAAAAAAGTTTTTTTATCAATATTTTTTTATCACAAGATTTTTTAATATTTTAGCTATAATATTTATCTTCTTAATTGACGCATCATCATTTTTTTAATATTTTAGCTATAATATTTATCTTCTTAATTGACGCATCATCATTTGTTCTTAATTTATTGCATCATCATTTTGGCTGAAAGCTTTTATTGCTCAACGAAGATTAAACATTAAATAATAGAAGTAGTTTAAGGTATTGTAAATCTTTTAGAAGAGGATTATGAATCAGGTTTAGAGGAGACCAGTGTAGCGGGAAATTAAAAGCCAAGGAAATTAGGACTTCAAAGTCTTGGTAAATTTCGTCATCACAGGTCAAAATTTTCTGGGATAGCAGCAATAACTCTGAAAAAGTACAGTATCGGATAAAACATGGTGGACAAACTCAAATTTAGAACAAAAGTTGATCAAAAACTAAAAAAAAGTAGTAAAACAATTGTACATATTAATTTTCAAGTAGTATATTATGTTCTTAACAAAATTAAAAACGGTTGAATCATACTAAGAATTACAAAAAAAAAGTTTATAACACATTTTTCTCAACAAATTAAATTTTTCTTTGGACAAAACAAGGTAGACAATAGGGGGTTAACTTTTTCACAACTAAACTTGGGTATAGTGCCAAAATATGACATTCTGCATTAGATAGCCAATTTTAAAAGTTCTTTTGACTCAAGTTACAAACACGTTCTTCGTAATTAGAAATATATGTTTTTGTTTGAGAAATACATAAAAATCGACAAATTAGCAGATAAATAACAATTTATTTTGACAAAGTAACTTTCAGTTAAACAAAATACAATTTAAAAGTTGTTTTGCAGAATAAATCTGAGTTCATTTTGTCTATATCTCTTGCATGAATTTCTTGCATAACTTTTATGGCTCTTTCAGCACAAATATTGGATCTCTGAATTCCTTATATTCTGCTGGGCTCCTGTGACCAAAGACTATTTAAGGTCTTCATGGCTGAAGTTGAAGTTATTGCTTATTTTAAATTTTTTAAATCATGTTCTGAGTATTGCATTTCAGAAAACCAAATATCAGACCGAGTTGATGGAATGAAGTCGCAAATCAAGCACAATTGATTATTATCCGATTCAGTTAAAATAAAAGCCAGAAGGGCATAGATCGCTCTTGAATTCCATCAGGCATTTTGCAACGATGGAAGACTTTTGAAGTTTATATCTGGAAAGCTGCCCTTCACCTTCATGTATCGGTAACTTTGAACCAAGTAGAACAAAAAATCCATGTCGTCTCTCCATTTATTTGTCTTAACTTTACAAATTTGAGGAATATAACTGGAATCTTGTTCATCATTTTGTTTATTACCTTCTTCATTGTTGTCACTGACCTCTACTGTATCTGTTTCAGGTATGCTAGGTCCCTTCCTGCCAGCCTTAGATGTACTTAAACAGTTTCAGATGTACAATAAGAAATAAAATGCTTTGTCTTCGTTGCTAAGCCAGTTACCATTTACTTTAGTTATATCAAATAAATAATCCTACTTTTCTTCAAGTCATTGTTTAGATTTTTGCACTGAATGATATTTGTTAATGAGGATTTCCACTTTTTTTGTTATAGACCTTTCATTTATTTTTGGTAAATTAACTCTTTTACATCTCGAATAAACTGACTACTCTAAATTTGATAAGCAAATAAACCGACCAATAACAGAATAAGCTTTTGGCATTTTATTCAAATTATCAAGTGGCTCTAAAACTTAAGGTATGTGAGATCATGTTGATTTTGATTTGTCAAAGTGGACTAGATTTTAAGACCAGGCTTTGATATTTTCAGGTTTTTCAGCTATCTGTGAGCTTATTCTTGACATTTCTAAAATATAAAGTATACGTTAATTATAATTGTAAGTTACATACGAAGCATAAAATTAAATCTGTTTTACATTTTAAGCACACATAAATAACTTAATTATATTAATTGTAGATTTTAACTATTGTAAACACAAAATAATCACCTTGATTTGAACACGCTTATTTTGACAGCAAACAATTAAAGATGACCCTTGCAGAAGTATTTAGTATTCGATGAATTTAAACTATTTATACATAAATTAAATATATATATATATATATATATATATATATATATATATATATATATATATATATATATATATATATATATATATATATATATATATATATATATATATATATATAGATATATATATATATATATATATATATATATATATATATATATATATATATATATATATATATATATATATATATATATATATATATATATATATATATTACCATTATTTGTATCATGCAAAACAATAAAAAATGTAAAAAAAACGTAAAAAAGGTTAGCTTTTTAGCTTGTTTAAAAAAAAAAAAGTTTACGGGGGATGTTTTTGCAACCAAAGATCTAAAAGCATATATTTCTATAAAAAAAATTTGATAATGTCAGCTTTTAAAAATATATCCATTCATTTTTAAGTGAAAAAATTGAAAAGTCAACCTCCTAGTGGACAAATCAAAACGATGCTTTTTTTAATAAGATTTTATTCTCTTTATTTAAATTACCGTACTCTTTTGTTTTCACTTTTAACATAACAGTACTCTAAAATAATAAAATAGATTTTGGAACATCTGACGAATTATTTTTTCAATTAAACTAAAAATAGATTTAACTCGTTATACATCGCGTAAAAAACTGCAATTTAAAATGGCTTACAACAAATTAGGAAGTGTTTTACTTGAAAAGTTTATTAAATTTATTTTTAATCACTAATACTTAATTATACTTAATTCTTCAAGTTATAAAACTTATATTTAAAAAGAACTTAATAACATTAGAAGTAAACACTGAGAATTAGATTATTAACCACTGAGAATTAGATTATTTACGAACACACAAATTCATACAGGAAAAGACATTAAATGACACATAGGACTTTCACGTTTAGGACATTACAAACACAAAACACAAGAACTTACGAAGCGCTGAACCAACACTTACTTAAATCTAACTTTACCAACACTCACTTAACTCAAACGCAATCACTAAATAGTACTCCCCTTCTAAACACTATCTCTCAATACTGGACATTTGTCCAAATATTATAATTTATCTAGCAGTTCCTTGCACTTATTTAAAGTATTTCTTACTTCTCTTAAGACTATTACGGCCTGATGGTTCCATATAAGTGGTAAAACTTTAATAGCTTCCACTGCGAAACAATAGCATAAATTTCTTTGTTGTCGAGGCACTAATGCTGCTGTGGAAAGGGTATTTTCACAAAGGAACGATTATTTGAGCAATGAGAAGTTGCAAATTTCTGTAAAAATATTATATGCCGCCTTAACAGTCAAATTTGATATGCAGTTTAATATGTTCGGATGCGGCTACATTATTAGACGAACATCCTCATTTAGCAAAAAAAATCCACTCTGAAGAAAAATATGTTTTAAAAAGAAAATAAAGTTTTTATTGCTTTTTCTTTTTCTTTTTTTCACCCATGAAATACTTGCAAAGTGTACTCTTTTTAAACAAAAGATAGTTGGTCCCCTTAAGATAATTAAAAATGGAATTAGATTTTTTGGCACCACTCTTTAAACAAATTTATAAAAACTCAATTTGGGTTTTTAGAAATACCTAGGCAACATTTAAAAATAGCAACAACTTTTGGCAAATTTTATTAAAAATTTTTCACATGAATGTTTAAGTTTTGCCACTATTTTAGATTTTCATTGAATAATTTCCTATATAAAAATATATTTTGTATAAAATATTTATGGAGTATTATTCTCTTTTACTATCAGCTATCAAGCTGATTAAACTGACTTGATAAGCTTCAGCATTAATCTGAAGCTAATGAGTTTATAGCTGAAGCTGAAATATCAGCTGCAACCCCTACTTTATTGACAACATAGTTAATGTGATGTATATACATTATAATAATAAATGCATTTTTTTTATACTCAAATACTTATTTTTTTATTTTATGATACATTTTTTAAGTTTTTTTTAAACACATGTTTTTTTATAAAATTTAATGCTTAGGAAATACTGATTTTTGCTGAATATTTTTTAGATAAAAATAATATTTTCTTACATTACTCTAGTCGAGGTAATAAACAAGAGTAAAATTTACTCAAATCATTATATTTGTCCCACATAGTTAATGCAGTTCTATTATACATAAGTCTATCGCTAATTCTAATAATAAAAAGTTATTACTATTATTATTATAATTATATTTACTAACCTGTTATTACTAATATTTATCAAAAATATATTCTGGTTGTTAAAGTCACTTTTACTCATATCAGCATGTAAATATTGTCAACAGCAAGAGTGTACCATGCAGAAATATTCTTGAACATGCTGCAAAATACAAGATATACATAAGATACATATCATATAAGACCTATTACCTGGAACTTAACATTTTATCGTGTTTAACTTACTATTATAATAAATAAGCATATTGTTATAATCAATATAATAACTATTACATTTTTTTAGTTATTGTTATTTATGTCAAAGTTATCAAGTTTAATAAAAGTTTTATAACTAAAGTTTGAATGCAAAAGTTCATATCAATAAAAATTTTATCAGTATTATAAACATAAGTATTATATTACAAGTATTTAAAAGTATAGGTATTGTAAGTATAAGTTATTATTATGTATATTATGAAATTATTGTTAATATTACAAGTGTACAATTTTGATC